CAGGCGTCCACGAGAATGAAAAGTTGGTTTATGTGCTAAGGCTCCGGATGGTCGTCTGCCAGCATCGTGCGGTCCCCTCACCCCTCTGGTTCGGTGCAGTGCACCCCGTGAGCACCCTAATCTCCTTGCCGGGCCCCTGTTCCTGAAGCCCTCTTCCCACCAGGTCAGCGGGAGAAGTCCAGGGAGTGTCCCTGACCCAGCCCAGCACGCCGTCCGTTCTCATGCGTGCCCACAGCCTGGCGTGATGTTTTGTGTTGTCAACCGAACCTTAATCCACCTTGCAGAGGCTCGAACGGGCACCGGGCACAGTGACGCCATGTCCTCGGCACCTGTACGGGCACAGCCGTGCCAAGTGCAAAGCTCTCCGCGCACACCAGGCGAAGACCCGCGCACTGCAGGAACGGACCCGTCTCACAAAAGACCATCCTCTCGCTGTCTTGGGAAGGGACAGTTCAAGCAAAATGACAAGGTCACATGGACACAGGGACCTCGAACCACGCTGAACCGAACACCCAGTCTCCAGAACGACTGGGGGTCACCGAGACCCCGTCAGCCCCTCCCCCGCGGCGGGGGCGCCTGAGGACACACTGCCCACCGTGGGAGGTCGATCAGGGACCAGGACGGAGAAGGTGCAGTTCCCTCCCTTGTTCAGCGTGTGCTTTTCCCCGTGCAGAAGTAACGTCCAAGCCCCAGCCCCCATCGGGGGAGAGGCCTTCCCCTGCTCGTTCCCCAGGACCCGCACTGCCCACCGCACGCCGGGGCTGTCGTCCAGGCCGGCTCACATGGGACGGTGGCGGCTGGGCATTCGCTGGGGCCTCCTGGGGCGAGTCCCAGCAGAGTCCCTGCCCGTCCAGGGAGCAGCCCGAGGCCTCGGCTCACAGACTGGGAGCTCCAGGCCCTGCCACAGAACCCAAACCACAATCCCGTGTCGGTCCAGACCCCACAGGAGCCAAGCCTCTGGAATGAGCCGGGGATGGACCAGAGTTTCCACCGGGTCTGGGCACGATTTCCTCAGGCGCCTTCTCAGGAACAGACCTCGGGCTACCCTCCATTTCAAACCACAGGACCGGCTGCAACAGCAACCAGGAGCCACGACGATTTAAAGCCACCCTGTCCTGTTCCTGGCCCTCAGGAGTCAGCTGCAGCCCACAGGCGTGGGGACACGCAGGTTTACAACTGCACGAAACAGCGATTTTCAACTGGCGAGCCGCGAGAATTTCTCAAACATGCGATGCCCGACTGTTCAGTGGGGGCACCGACCTCTTTTCTCTTAGGTTGTCAAAGAAAAAAAATGACAGCGGCCAACACAACAATAGCCGTCCGGTGTGAACTGGATCAAAATTATAGCTTTTTGTGTGTGTGTCAGATCAGCAACAATGATACCATTTTTCGGTGTGCCGCAGAATTTCACTGATTAGTTTACGGGTGTCAGGTGATGAAAAGGCTGGGCATTGCTGGTATAAACCCTGCCAAGTGGACTTTCTCTCCTCTCTGGTCCTTCCTGAGTCCCTCTTCCCAGCACCACCACCTTGTCTGACCCTGAGTCCAACGAACGCCCAAATGCCAAAACACACAACTTTCCACACCCGTCCTCCGCTCTGCCAGCCACTGACCTGCAGCCCTGGCTCCTGCCACCTGGTACCTGGTGATGCTTCAGCTTCTCCAAGAACCAGCGACTTCAGGCGCGTGGCTAACCCACGCCAGGAGGGGGTACTTGGCTATTTTTACGTTCGGAATTGTCACTTTTCGATGCTTACACAACTCAGTTCGTTGCTCGGATGTGACTGTTCTCTCTCTCTCCTTCCCCCAGCTCTGTCCCACCACAGAGTCAAGTAGTAAATACCAAGACCTCCAAACCCAGCCCCCGCCTCACGTCTTGAAGTGTTTTGAAATGTCTTCTTCGGGGCCCTGTGAGGGTAATGGCATGAGAATTGGGGGACGAGAAGTTGTCATCTTACACGTAGCATCAAAACCTATAACACTGAATGTTTGAACAAACTTCAAACCTCGTCGTGATTGGTATTTACAACAGCCGGAGACGGCAGAGTCACAACAGTGTCCTGGTCACAACTTAAACAAAAGGTTCTATTTTAGGGGTTTTTTTGTTTTGTTTTGTTTTTAAATGAGACATGGGTGGAGGGATTGAGCAAAAAGAACAAAGAAAAGAAAAAGAGGAAGAAGTCATTGTCACGGACCACAGCCTGGTGACTGCGGGGAGGGGGGGGAGGGAGAGACGGAAGGCGGGGTAAAGGATGATGGAAAAAGAGTTGTAACAAGTTCTGTAAAAACATAAAATACATGTGAGCAACTTGAACAAACGAAAAGTTTTTTTTAAAGTGAGCCATACATACTAGACTTACCAGAGGATTACTTTGCAAGGTACACAAATATCTAATCACTATGTTGTACACATGAAACTAATAAAATATTGTATGCAACTGTAATTTACAAAGTATATTGAAAAGAAAACATAGATAAATTACAAAAACAAAACAAAAAGAGAGAGGCCTTCCACACGGGGAGGAAGGCAGCGAAGACGCGGAGACGGGGAGAGCGTGCCGGCCCCAGGAGACGCGGGCGGACGCTTTGCTTCACACCTTGTCCTTGGACCCTGATGCCCGCACATCCAGGCTTGTCCCCACCCGGCCACCTTCCCCGCCTCACAGGGACCGTCGGAGACCAGTCTCTTACCTGGGAGGCTGCTGGGCACCGCGTCCAACTCTCTGCCCCCGGGCGGTGGTGCTGGTCGTCCCTCGTCCGCTTCTCTCCTGGGTTTAACCCCGCAGCCGGGGGAGGAGCTGGCAAGGGTCCTCCTGGGTGTTCCCTCTCTTGGCAGGAGCCAGTGAAGCGCAGCTCAATCTAACAAAGGGCTGGAAAATACTTACCAGCCACTAAAAATACTGTTGCCATTCAAGCAGCATATATGTGTGTGTGTGTGTGTATGTGTGTGTGTGTGTGTGTGTCACATAGACACCTCAGACAGCAGTGGGGTGACAGCCAGAGGGCAAGGGGTGGGGTGAGGGAGGAGGTGGGCAAAGGGAGGGAATGGGGATGGAAAGAGACTTTCCTTGGGGTGAGGGACCCAGGATGCAGTGTGCACACCTGCAACCTGCATGGTTTTGCAAACCAATGTCACCCCAATAAATTCAATAATCAAAAATAAGTAGCTCCAGCCCTGGCTGGTTTGGCTCAGTGGTTAGAGCACTGCCCGCAGACCAATGAGTTGCAGGTTCGATTCTGGTCAAGGGCAGGTACCTTGGTTGTGGTTCCTCCCGGCCCTGGTCCGGGTCCTGTGGGGGGCAACCAGTGAATGTGTCCCTCTCACGACGATGTTTCTCTCTCTCCCCTTTCTCCCCCCTCTCTCCCTCCCACTCTATCTGAAGATAAATAGGAAAATATCCTGAGTGAAGATTAAAAAATAAAATAAATAAAAAATAAGTAGCTCCAGAATAAAGGCAAATTCAGAGTTTGCGTGCCCCATGCTGGGAGCGGGGTCTCTGGGTTTGAAGGCGCGTCTCTCAAGTGTCCTTCTCTTACCCGGTTGGCACCCTGGGATGTGTTGCCTGGGAAAGACCCTCCGCACAGACAGACGGGAGCAGAGACCCTCAGGGCCAGAACCTGCTGTGACCCCGGCTCTGAGGACTGCTGACCACAAGTGCAGACCCTCCGCCACCGGACCCCCACCCATTGCCAGAAAAGAGCAGGTGCCGCCTTTCCTCTTGCCATCAGACGGACAGACCCTTATCCACTCCCCCTGCCCCACCCTCGCCTGCCTGAGCGCGGATCTGCAGCTTAACGGAGGGAGCCCGTTAGGTGGACACCCAGTGTCCATGGAGGAGGACGAGGCGAGGAGGACCGGGGCAGCCCCCAGAATCGTGTGGGGGTGCATCTACGCCAGACCACCTGTGTGTGAGACTAGTGTCTGCAACTTGCAAATGACCTTTGGCTCAACCACGCGTTGCCTCGGGTTACTCATCTTTAACGACCAATAATACACGGTGAGGAGCAAATGAGCTGAATTTCCACTAGTCCCAGGGACACAGTGAGGAGTCAAGAAACCTTAGCTGCTATGATCGTTGTCATTAGAATTATCATTTTTTCATTCTCCTTGCATACCCCACAGAGAAGACTTTGACCCCTTGCACCCCAGTCTGGGTGGGGTCACAGCTCTCTGCCCTTCCACCCTCAGAGCCTCGAATGGCCCTGCTCTCTGCCCAGCATCGGCCAGCTACTACAAGGGACCCTGTGGGGTGAGCCAGGGTTCACCAGAACGTCCCGCAGCCCCAAACCTTCTCTCCTCCCTTAGACCCGTCCCTGCTCTTAAATAGGAGAGTCTCCCCTGGAGGCTCCTAGAACCCTGCTGCCCCCAAGCTGCTCTGCCGTTCTCCAGTTCCTTCCACCGCTTCTCCACAGTGAGTGCCCTTGGCCAACCTTCCCCATCACTCTGCCTCCCGCGCCCTAACTACGAGGCTCAGAGGTGCCCCCCTCCAGCCCCTCCCTCCTTAGGCCCTCCCCTCCAGCCCCTCCCTCCTTAGGCCCTCCCCTCCAGCCCCTCCCTCCTTAGGCCCTCCCCTCCAGCCCCTCCCTCCTTAGGCCCTCCCCCTCCAGCCCCTCCCTCCTTAGCTCCTCCCCACCAGCCCCTCCTCCTTAGGCCCTCCCCTCCAGCCCCTCCCTCCTTAGGCCCTCCCCCTCCAGCCCCTCCCTCCTTAGCTCCTCCCCCTCCAGCCCCTCCCTCCTTAGGCCCTCCCCTCCAGCCCCTCCCTCCTTAGGCCCTCCCCTCCAGCCCCTCCTCCTTAGGCCCTCCCCTCCAGCCCCTCCCTCCTTAGGCCCTCCCCCTCCAGCCCCTCCCTCCTTAGGCCCTCCCCCTCCCGCCCCTCCCTCCTTAGCTCCTCCCCCACCAGCCCCTCCTCCTTAGGCCCTCCCCTCCAGCCCCTCCCTCCTTAGGCCCTCCCCCTCCAGCCCCTCCCTCCTCCAGCCTGGATTCCTTAGGGGCCGCCGTGTCACCACCACGAAGACCCTCCGTACACAGCTCCACAAGACGGAGGAGGTGGCTCACCCAGCAGAAGAGGCTGTCCAGGCTGCTGGGCAGTCCGCTGTCCACCGTCACTGGTCTCTAGGGCCATCTCCCAGCCGTGGGAAGCGGGCAAGGTGCCTAGTCCTTAAAAACACAAAAACAAAACCTTATTTATGTTACAATCATTTCAGAGTTCCAGAAAAACCACAAAGATGACAAAGAATCCCCGCATCACCTGCGCCCACCTTGTCCACATTAGGGCAGGGACATTCGCACTCACTTCTCTCTTGTGAGAGTCTCCGAAAGGCGGGCTCCACCCTCAATAGCCCCAGGGTGCACGTCCCCCAAACAAGGGCACCTGCCACACAGCCTCGCTACAGCGGCACGAGCACACGGACACGAGAGGTGGTCCAATGCGCAGGCTGGATTCCAGACCCATCGCTTCTCTCTTCTATCACGAAAGAAAACCGGGGTTTACTGGTCCCGGATCCGAGTCAGGATAACTCGGGGCACCCCACGCTCCTGCCTTTGAGTGTCCTTGACCTGGGCCAGCTCTCGTCTTCCCTTCGTCCTTCACGACCCTGAGTGTGGACGGGTGAAGGTCAGTTAGTTTGGACAATGTCCTCAGTGTTGAGTTTTCTAACAGCTGCCCCAGGCTTTCTCTTGTGGAGGTGACTCTGTGTAGGTAAATGCTTGGGACTCTAAGGGTAGGCTCACAACGAAACAAACAAAGAGCTGAACGGAATGAATAGGAATTTCTATGGAAACAGGAAAGGTTGGGGAGGTGGAGGCCTAGGGCGGGGAGGGCCAGAGAGGCCTTCCTTGGAAGCTGAGTCACTTTATTTATTTATTTATTTTTTTCATCCTCACCCGAGGACATTTTTCTATTTTTGTTCAGGTAGAGCGGGAGGGAGAGAGAGGAAGAGAGAGAGAGAGAGAAACATCGATGTGAAAGGGACACATCCAACCAGGGCCGGGGACAAACTGCAGCCGAGGTACGCACCCTTAGCGGGAACCGAACCCGGGTCTCTCTGTACCGCAGGCCGACGCTCCAACCGCTGAGCCAAACCGGCCAGGGCGAAGCTGAGTCACTTTAAACAAGAGTCTGTTTAATATGGAAAATGCTTGCTTTGCACCCATCTCCCTCCAGGGCACCAGACCCTGCCTGGAGCCTCACACACAGACACTTCCGCTGACCGGCTTGGACAGGGAGAGAAGGGATCAAAGGGTGGGAGGGGTCTCGCGGCCGGGTCAGCACTGCGCCAGGAGACGGCACCAGCGTGAGATGTAAGACACGTGCGGCGCCTTCAGAGCCCAGAGCCGGACGCGTCCACGGGCCGCCGGCCCGACACGCTACGCCGATCACAGAAGTCGGTGGCGGGCTGGGGGAAGGGGGCTTGGGATTCCCCGGAGGGTGCAGGATTCCCTAGGCTGGAGGACGGAGGTTGGAACCCATTTTAATGACCTCGGAGAAAGGTGACTTCCGCTCACACCTGTCTCCAGGCTGCCTCCCAGTGCCCAGCCGTCACTTGGGGACCCTGGGCGCCCCCCGGCCGTTACTTGGGGACCCTGGGCGCCGACTGGCTTTTCCACACGCCGGGCACAGGCTCCGTGGCTTCAGCAGAGCTTCTGGAGGAGGAGGACACGGTCCCCCCCCCCTACAGTATTCAAGGGACGTGACAGTTACTCGTGACAAATGTATTCTCTAAGATGCCCGAGGACAATTCCCCAAATATGTCAGGCCTAACTCGCGGGGACGGGCACTATTTTGTCTGCTTCCCCAAAGCCTTTCCCAAGAGAACCCCAGTTTTACTGAGCCACTCACCCCTCCTGAGCTGGGGCTCGGGGAGAGTCTGGGCTCGTTCCTGCGCCAGGAGATGGGTGTGACGGATCTAAGCCACCAGGGTAACCTCACCGCCCTGGCCACACTGACCGTGACTCCGACAGAAACGCGGTGCGGCTGGGTCAGGGAGACGCAGGGAGAGCTGCAGGCAGGGCTTCAAGGGAACTTCTTCACGCAGAAATAAGTAATGACCCAAAGAAGAAGCAGACCTCTTCACGTGACGCCCGAAACCCCAGACGCCTTGCAGCCGAACACTAGGGGCGCTGGCGGAGGACAGAGAGAACGCGTGAAGAACGGCAGAAGGGCAGGAGGAATCGAGGACTTACGACGTGGCCGAGCTGCGGAAGTCACCAGCCCCCCAGTTTGCCTACTGCGGGACTCCCCCGAGTCAGGATTCAGTTTCTTAGAGCTGAACGCATTCTAGGGGATCGACATCGCTCAGTGCACGTCCTGGCAGCAGAGTGATTTACTGACATCCTGGAACCCCCGGGGACACAGCCACCACCGGCCGGCAGCAAGCTGGGCTCGGAGACAGTGAAACCTGTTTCCAAAGCTTTCTGTTCTTCCAGCTTCCCAGTGTGGTCTTCAGACGGCGTCCGAGGTGGATGTGACATGGCCACCGGCTCTCGGCAGCTCCTCCCACACGAGGTAGAGCTGGTGTCCCCACTCCTTGAACTGGACCTACTGTTGCGATTCCCTTTCCCCAGTAGCACGTGGCGAAATGACGTGGTTCTGAGCTGGGGCTGCCGGAGTCTGCGGCGTCTGCTCTCACCCTGGTGGGCGACGGGGCACACGGAGAGGGCCTGGCTGTGCTGGCTGGAGCCGACACATGCGTGAGCCCAGCCGTGCCCTGGGAGCCCACCGGTCCCCCCGGCTGCCACCCACAGTGTCAGGAGCCAGTCAGTCCTTGTTTGTAGCGTTGTGCGGAGGTTTACTATGCAACAACGGAAAGATGATGCAGGGCCTATACCCACGCCAGGGGAATACTTTACCTCGAAACTAATTTCAACCCATTATTTCGTCCAAATAGCGTAACCCATTCCAGACCAACCTGGGGGGAAAAAAAAAAACAGAGATGGTTAACGAACATGTTATTATGTCTTATTTTATTTGAGAAAAATGTAGGAAAAAGTATTCCAGCTGCAGTCATCTCCAATTTTATTTGTCCTGAGAAATCCCCCGAAACCCAACAGACCATTGTGCTGGCTCTGAGGGGCCTGAACCGCTGTCTGATTTGGAGACCTGGGCCTGGTCTTAGCTGGCTTGGGTCTGTTTGAGCTGGAAGACGTGTCTTAAATCTTTCATTAGGATTCTGCTGAATCTAAACGAACTGAAACCAAACCTAAACAGACCTTCACTCTCAAGATCTTGCCCAGCTCCCTCACTCCCTGAATCCCTCTGCCATAAATTATATACATTCTGTGTCCATAGGGTCGCGAGGCTACAAAACCAGACCACAGCAAAGGGAGCTGCTTATGACTCCACCCAAGAGAGACCTCGATTCTTCCTCCGTCAATATTTTCTTCTCTGAGGGCAATACTTTTTGATACCCATCTCCATATTAATCAATACCTTCTTATTAATCTTCTTTTGGCGATAACAGTTGCTATGAGCCCGAAGTGTGTGGGAGCAAGGGCTGGATTTGCCGCCAGGGACTGGGACCCTGGAGGGGACGGCGGCTGGGTCTTCAGAAGGTTCTCGTGCGTCGCTGGTCCACAGACGGTTGTTCTGTAGATTTCATTCATTATTATTTTCATTATAAAAGTAACTTATTACTATAGACTAAAACATACAGAAACATAAAAGAAAATGAGCAATTCCTATAATCCCTACACTCAGAAATAACCACTAATTTTGCTTCTACAAATGAATACGTATAAGGAAAGATGTATATATCTGTGCACCTGTATTTAAAAAAGATTAAACAACTAAGATTATGTTCTATAGAGATTTTTCTGCTCTCTGCACTAAACTTTATATAGTATTGTTCCTTCGTTTTCTTACATGTGTTTTCAAGGACATGCTTTTTAATGTTGCATAGTGTTCTAGTATGTGCACCTAAGTCGTGGGGGTGGACGGATGGCACTGGGGAGTCATGGAAATAGGTTCCAGTCTGTCTTGCCTATGGTGCTTGTCACAGGACTGTACACACGTCTCAAAATTCATTGAGCTGTATACCTTGCAAGGGTACATTTTAATGTATATAAATTACATCGCAATAAACCTGACTTAAGGGGGAGAAGGTTTAGCTGAAGGACCACCTCGTATATATGACAAATCTTGCCTACTCTATAATTACTCAGTCCTGACAGCCCGTGGAAATGACTGGGGAGTGTTTAATGAAGTCAGATGCCAGGGTTTGGGGAGATGGGAGTCAGAGACTCCGATGTAAGTGGCCGTGGGTCAGACCCAGGCATCGTGTTTTCTAAAAGCTCCCGTGTGGTCCTGGAGCCCGCAGCAGGGCTGAGCCGCACTCATCAGCACGGTGCATCACTGGACCACGGCAGGAGGAGGAGATCAAATGGGACATGTAGATTTCAGAATCATAAAAGAGTTTTATGAAGTTTGCAAACTAAGCATTTATTAGTCTGCTGATTTTTTTTTTTTTTTTGTCCTATTTCCCCCAAAGGCCTGAGATAGTCATAAAAATATTTTTATTGCAATATAACTCACATACCACAAACTCATCCATTTAAAGTGTACAATGCAGACCCTGGCCAGGTGGCTCAGTTGGTTGGAGCATCATCCCATATACCAAAAAGTTGCGGGTTCGATTCCCGGTCAAGGCACATACCTAGGTTTTGGGCTTGATCCCTGTCGGGGCATGTGTGGATTGCTATTTCTCTCTCACATCAATGTTTATCTCTCTTTCTCCCTCTCTCTCTCCCTTCCTCTCTCTAAAATTAGTAAACATATCCTCAGGTATGAATTCAAAATAAATGAATAAAGTGTACAATTCAGTGTTCTTGATACATTCACGAGGTCATTCAGCCATTACCATTATTTACATTGAAAACGTTTTCTTGCCTGCCCGGTGTGGCTCAGTGGTTGAGCGTCGACCCATGCACCAAGAGGTCACCAGTTCAATTCCTGGTCAGGGCACATGCTCAGATCCCTAGTGGGGGGCATGCAGGAGGCAGCCAGTCGATGTTTTTGCTCATCAATGTTTCTATCTCTCTCTCCCTCCCTTTTGTGACTGGCTCATTCCACTTAACACAGCATTTTTAGGGTTCACTCGTGTTGTAGCATGTATCAGTACTTTGTTCCTTTTCGTGGCCACATAATATTCCATTGTGTGGATTTAGCACCTTTTGTTTATCCATTCAGCCACTGACAGAAACTTGGGTTAGTTCCACTTTTTTGCCTGTTATAAATACTGTTGCTATGAAAATTGGTGTGCAAGTGTTTGAGTGGATGCCTGTTTTCCACGCTTGGTATTCAGCCAGGGGGAGAACTGACTGCTGGGCCACCTCGTTCAACTTCTTGAGGGAATGTCGAACGGTTTTCCAAAGCAGCGCCACCATTTAATATCCCCACCACCATGCGCCAGGGTACCGGCTTCTTCATGTGCTCTCCTGGCACTTGTGTTGTCTGTCTTTTTTATTATACTGCCCTGGTGGATGTGAGGTTATAGCTTGAGTTTTTAATTTTGATGAAGTCCAGTTTCTTTTTTCTCTTGTTGCTTGTGCATTAGGTGTCGTATATAAGAAAACATTGACTCATCCAAGGTCATGAAGATTTGCAAGTTTTCGTCTAAAGTTTGTATAGTTTCAGCTCTTACATTTAGGTCACTGCTCCATTTTGAGTTAATATTAGTGTGTGGTGTGAGGTAAGGGTCCAACTCCCTTCCTCTGCCCGTGACTATCCCGTTGTCCCAGCACACTGATTGGCAAGACTAGTCTTTCCCCACCGACGGTCTGGGCACCCTTGTTGAAAGTCACAGTCGTGTATTTTTTTTTAAGCATTTGCCTCTGCTCACCTGGAAGAAGTGTTCACCTATTCTGGCCACTGATGAGGAGCTCTAAGTCAGTAGTCCTTGTCTGCACACAGTTGCGTCCAGTGTCTAATCGTGGTGACTTTCAGTGCCCAGTTCCCAGTAGGTCCTTAGTAAATGCCTTTTGATAAACTGATCTTGAGATTAATCAATTTAGTAACCAGAGCATGATGTGTTTCTGATTAAGTTGATTGGCCTGATTCATCTCTCTGATCAGCCAAAGGGACCAAACTGTCCGTACGAGCTGACAGGCTGAGGATCAGAACAGTAGAGGAATCTGCCTACCCATCAGGACCACAAGTTTGTCTGGGCATTTACCTCTCCCCCTGTGGCTCATGGTTAAACCCTGATTATTCTAAGCGAGTCATAGTCAGTGAAGTCTCTCCGACACGATGTGATTCAGGAAAGGGTATTTGACCCACTTCTGTCAAATGGGGCTTCTGAAAAGTTTTCCTGTACGGGAAGAGTTGGTCCTGCTCTGTCCAGCGGCTGTTGCCACGCTTGCTGGGATACAGCAGGCATCTTATAACCATGAGGGGAGCCAACAGGACAAAGGATGGCAGGGCAGATAAGTGGGAGGGATCTGGGTCCTTAACGGCACTCCTGAACCCTGAAATCAACCACCCTTGGGACTTATCATTATCTAAGATAAGTTATTTCTTCATTATTTGAGCCAACTATGTGACTGGTATTCAAGTCTTTCTACCCAATACAGATCTCCTGACTTTTCACAGAAAATGCCCTTCAGACTGAGAACTCTCAGGGCACTGGACAACTGAGCACAGAGACCCAGGGACTTGGAATTCTGCAAGGGGAGTGTCCGAACCTAGCCCCAGAGACGCTCCGAGCTCCCAGGAGCCCTGCTGTGTGGGCGCTGATGCTGGGGAAGCATCGTACGTAAGCTGCGCTCCGTCACCTGCGCCGCACCCTTCCGGGGGCACAGCTCATCCCAACCTCACTGGATCGGAGGAGCCAGGAGAGGCCACAGATACAGGAGTCTGACAGTAGTCACCTGCCTGACCACAGTCACCCTCCCGGCGGCTGAGACCTCCGGCCAGGGCTGCCCACCACCCTGCAGGAGGGAAGTTTCAGGTGCCTATTGAAGTTGGCAGGTGTGTATTTCCAAGAGCTGACTGCCCCTCTCTTCCCCGCACGACGTTCAGTGACCTTCCACGGGTGACTTAAAGACCAGCTACTGCGAGGCCATCTAAACCTCGGGCATCAGAAAGCAGCCTTTCTCTCAGTGTGACCCGCCACCACCGGCAAGTCTTCTCCGGCCCTTCTGGGACCTCGAGGTCCCTTTACACTACCGAGGTGGCATAGTGTCCCCCGAACCTCGTGGAAACACCCAGCACCCCTCCATGAAGATGACCGACTGCTCGCAGTGATAGGAAAACCCCACTGTCTCTGCACAGGCCGAGTCACAGGCTCCCGTCTCGAGTTCCCTTCCTAAGGCTGCCCGGCCTCGTGGGCTGTGACTGCTGCTGGGTCTGAGCGTTTCATTCTCCCTCGCAGCCTGCTATCGGCGTCTGGGGTTGGGGCTGCTGTTTGCTGGTTTCTGAGAGTGTGGGGTCACAGCGGGGCTGCTGCGTGGTGCTGTTCCGTGGCATGGAAGGGCGAAGCCACGGTAATGATGAGGTCTTACTGTGGAACTGCTGGGGTCACCCGCTGAGGCCGCTGTGGTCGCTGGGAGGTGTCTCTGGGTGGTTCCTGAGTGACGGAGGGACGGGGCTCCCTCAGGGACCCCTGCAGCCTGCTGCCCCTCGGGCCCTCCCCTCCACCTCTCCTGTCCCATCTCCATGCCCGCTGGGTCCCAGGCTCTTCCTTCTCCGGTTCCCTCTTGCCAATTACAGGTTTGGGAAGTGTCAAGGGGCAATACTGATTCTCGACACAACGTCATCCCCACTGGAGCCCAAGGCCCCAGACGGGCCTTTCTGGGAGTTATGGACTATTTCAGGTGCACAAAAAGGGTTACAGAAAGGTGCTCTAAACACTCTTGTATTTCTACCCAGTTCAGGAAATAAAATACTATAAATACTGTTACAGTCCCCGCAGAGGTCTCTGATCATACTTCCCTCCCTCCAAGAGAAAAGCACTTTCTGACACGGGGACCGTCACTGCAGGGTGTGAAGAAAGCACCCAGCTTTACTTACGTTTCTGTGTAGCTCGCGAACGCAAAGCCCCACTTCCTGGCTAGACCACGCGTGCCCCTCTGCGATGCCACGCCGCCCCTTATTCATCAAGTTTCCATCTCTGTTTTGTTTGTTTTCTAAATTTTTCTTTACTGATTTTAGAGAGAGAGGAAGGGAGAGAGAAGAGAAACATCGATGAGAGAGAACACTGATTGGCCGCCTCCTGCATGCCCCGCACTGGGGATCGGGCCCACAACCCGGGCATGTGACCTGACCGGGCATCAAGCTGGCGACCTCTTAGTGCAGGGTCAACGCTCAACCACTGAGCCACACCAGCCTAGCTGTCCCCTTATTTTAATCAAAATGCCCAGGTTCACACTCCAGTTACTCATATGACTCGTATGGCCTTGGGAAGGTGCTTTTCTCTCCTGCCTCAGTTGCCTGATCTGTCCAATGGGATCACAGTAGCGCCTGCCCACGAGTGGAATTAAATGAATCATTTCTGTAACTCGATGGGAACAGTGCCTGGCACGTAGTAAGCAGTCAGTAAACATCAACTAAGCCCATGGGGTGGCCACCTTGGCACGGCCCTCCAGTTACTTAGTGGGTTTTTACATTTCTTTTCTTTTTCCTTAAAAATCTCAAAATACGGTACTTAGGTGTCACTCTGTCCCCGCGCGCTCCGCCCTGCGGCCGGCACAAGGATGCCACTCCAGCCCATTTGTAGAAGTTCAACAGCCACACGACTGCTCTCCTCGCAAGTCCTGGGGGTGAAGCCACTGACCCGGGCAGCCTTCCACAGGAACGGAATGCTGACAGAGAAGCAACCCTGAAAGGACCCAGCTGCACCTGGCCCCAGGGGTGCAGGGACGCTGGGGAGCCCCCGGGGGGCCCGCTCCGCAACCCGTCCCAGAAAGTCCGGGGAGCCTGGGGCATTCATGCTGGGGTCACAGGGCGGGGCGGGAACGTGGACGAGGGCCTCACCCCTTTGCGACCCCCACGGAGCAGTGCGACTGTTGGGCTGTTCCCTGCGGGGCGGACAGCGGCGGCTCCTGTTCAGCACGTGATTCCAGTGCCGGGCGCTCGGCACGCAGGTACTAGGCACTCAGCACGCAGACACGAGCTCGGCTTCAGTTCCCGGCCCCCGTCCCCAGGAAGGCCGGACGCGGGCTCGGACGCGCGGTCAGGCGGTCAGCGCGGGGCATGCTCAGCGGCGAGTCGGTGCCACAGGACGCTTCAGGCTCCTGAGCTGAGGCACTGCCCGGGCTCACCCTCGGGGACACCCCGCGTCTGCAGGCCCGGGATGCCGGGCGTGGACGGGCTGGCTGCCCCCCGCCCCCCCAGCCCTGCAGGGACTGAGAGGCACTGGCCGGGGTCCACAGTCCTCATCCACAGTCGAGACTCGGAGGCAAGAGGTGGAGAGTGGCCTGTTGGGAATATAGTTCTCACCAGCCAACGAGCCCTCTGACCCACGTCTCCACTGACTTGAAGGAGCTGGATTTCAACCCCAGAAACCCGAAGGCCGTCCTTGGTTCTTGTAGGCCTCCCTCGGCAACGACCAGGGACAAACAACACCCCCAGGAATGCTCTTGGCGGAGCCACCCCCAGAGCTAACCGCAGCGCGTCCCCTGGCCTCTCCAACGAGCCTGGCGCCACAGGAGCCCGAGCCCGAATGTTCCAGAAGGAGCCGCCAGACGAGTGCAGAGACACGCCTGCCCTCCTTCCCACCACAATGTTCCAGGAGCAGGGAACGGCCCGAGGCAGGGGGGCGCCGGCACCACGACCGGCAAACCCCGGAGGCCTCACTTCAGCCGCACCCCGTGGTGGCGGGGAGGCTGCAAGCCAAGCTCAGAGGTAATTACAGACGAAGGATCTGGCTAAACATGACCACAGAGGCGGAGGGCGAGGAGCTGGGTCTCTGCAGAAGGTGTGGGGCAGTTGGTGAGCTCGTAACCTGAACGTCCAGGGAGGCACCTCGCGGAGGCCTCGGTGGCAGCGTGGACCAGGGGGCGAGTGTCCAGGGGACGAGTGTCCCGGCAGGCTGTGCGTGTCTGTGGCAGGGAGGACAAGCGCAGCTCAGACGGATGAAGGAGCACCACACGTGGCTGGGAGCGGCGGTGTCGGCGATGTCTGCAGGAGCCCGCGCTTGGCGTGAACTCTGCAGACGCTCTGCGGTGCTGTCAGGGCCCTGGTCCAGCCACCGCGGGAAGCAGGAAGCTGCAGGGACGCGGCTGGGAGGAGAGCTGGACAGGCTGCTGCTCTTGGGGTGGGCTGGCCCCGACGTATCACCCCTTGTCATCAACACAGACGCCGTGGTGCCATCCTCTCTGATTCTTCCCTGGTATTACACGCAGCGTGAATCAAAACCCACCCTCTCCCTGCAGAGGGGGAAGAAAGCAAAAGGGAGACAGAGGCTCCTACCAAAGGCCTCGGTCGTTCTGGGGCCACGAGAGAGCCCCGTGTGGGGGCCGGTGCTCGTCTTCATGCCCTCTTCGTCTCTGCAAATGCTCCTCCTCGTCTAGAAGCAGCCCCCTTGGCTGCGACAGGCCCGAATCCCAGAGCACAGCAGAGTGCGAGGCACTCGGCCTGTCGCCAGGCCTCAAGGACAGACGTCCCACGGGGCCGAGGGCACGCCTCAGCTCTGCTGCGCTGGTGGCCATGATGTCAGGTGTCACCCAACATCACTGAATGGAAGTGTGTGTGTGTGTGTGATAAACAGGCACCTGCTGGGACATGGTACTAAGGGAGCTGGTCAGGAATAGACTGAAGGAGAAAAGGTACCATTTTGTTTACTCCGTCTCCTTAGAGGAGGTCAGGGAAAGCCGTGCATGGCCCCTCCACATGCACCTTCTAGCCAGAGTCATCTCCCCGTCCTGGTGAACCCATCTTTGTTTGGCTCAGACAAGCTTCACCTGTAACGGGAACATTTTTTCTTACTCTAACGTACGTTAGCTCAGGGGTGGGGTGCCACGGGACTTCGGGGTCGTCTGGCCTCTGGGAGGAGCCCTTGGGGAGGCTCTGGGAAGCTGAGGAACAGAGAGGCAGGCAGCTTCCTCCCGGGCTTCCCCAGGCCACTCACCACGCACTTCTCTCCCGCTGCGGCTGCTGAGTGCCCGGGGGGCCACCGGCCATGCAGCTTCTCCAGAGAGGGGACCTCGGCCTGCGCTGGTTCCGTGACCTGACTCCCACTAACTGGCGGGCCTGGTACGTCTGTCCCCACAGGCGCAGCGCAGCGCAGCTCAGCTACGCAGCTCCGTCTGGCCTTCCTCCAGGTTTGGAGCTCAAGGAGACTAGGAAGTGGGGACGCAGGGAAAGGGGAGACGCGGTGGGAGGAAGAAGCTGCCTGCCTGGCCACTGCTGACCCCACTGCAGACCAGTTGAGACGCTGCAGGAGCCGCCGGGTGCGGCCTCACCCCGGAACCGCAGAAACACCCTGTTTCAGTGGGCACAGCGGCGGGAGGCCTGGAGGGGGCACAGACCTTCCTCCCCTCGGGGGGCAAGGCGACCACAGGCCGCAGGGAAGAGGGAGCCACAGAACCGACCTGGCCATCGAGAGGGGCGGGGGGGAGAAGGCTGCGGAGGCAGGACGTCTGGGTCCATGAGCTCGAGGCCCTGGGCTCCTTGGCCCGCCAGGCATTCGTGGGCATTCGGGGGACAGAGAGTGACCACGTGAGTGAGCATCGCCGTCACCTGGGCTTGTCGGCTGGCCCCGTGCGGGACAGCAGGCCTGACCGTTCAGAGGCTAGGCCCCCACGGACCGCCCTTCCGACCAAGGGCACAAGGTGCGTACCTGGCGGCTGTCCCTCACCGTCCTCTGCAGGCAGCCCTGGTGCCTCGCCTCCGGAAGGGACGAAACCCTAGTCACTCAGCACGTGGGCATGGCCTTTGCCGGGCCTGGGCGGGGACAGACGGGCCTTTCACAACACGCCAGCCAGCAGGCGGTGTCCACAGAGCTGCGCTTGGAGGAGCCGAGCATGAGCAGTGGGGGCACCGGGGCGTCCAGTCCGTTCTGCTCAGAGGGGCAGTGTCCGGTCAGGACGGCTCAAGGGGCAGTGTCCGGTCAGGACAGCTCAGAGGGGCAGTGTCCAGTCAAGACGGCTCAGAGGGGCAGTGTCCAGCCAGGATGGCTCAGAGGGGCAGTGTCCGGCCAGGACGGCTCAGAGGGGCAGTGTCCAGTCCGTTCTGCTCAGAGGGGCAGTGTCCAGTCAGGACAGCTCAGAGGGGCAGTGTCCAGTCAGGACGGCTCAGAGGGGCAATGACCGGTCAGGATGGCTCAGAGGGGCAGTGTCCGGTCAGGACGGCTCAGAGGGGCAGTGTGAACCATTTCAGCCCAACAAATATTTATGAACACCCGACACTCTGCTATGAACTTGGGTAACATGGAAAAAACACTTTGCCTTAGAAATTTCCAATAAGTTGGGGAAATTAATACAAACACTACACACACTCACACACACACACACTCACACACACACACACTCACATACACACACTCACATACACACACACTCACATACACACAGACTCTCACACACACTCACATACACACACACCCACATACACACTCACACACACACACGCATACACACACATCTCCCCCAAGTACAACACCGAAAGAGTTGTGTGTGAACACCCCAGTCCTACCCTCCTGCCCCTGACCGCCTCCTGCGACAGTCTAATAGATGTAGGCGCTCACCTTTGCGTCTGTCTAGGGAGTCAGGAGGGCCGAGCGCTGACACAGATTGGAGGCCCCTGAAGGAGTCGATGGACCGGAGGGGCTGGGAGGCGAGAACGGAAAGGAGGAGCGGATGGCGGACAAGCAGAGGGGACGGCGTGGCAGCACCAACACAGTTCGAGTCCATGAGTAGCGCGTTACATAGTGTTCCCCCAAATTCACAGTCACCCACAACCTCAGAACATGACCTAATTTGAAAATTGGGTCTTGGCAGATGAAATTAATGTGAGGATTGAGATGAGATCATCGTGGCTTCGGATGGCCTAAATTCACAGAGTGTTCTTGTGAGCGGAGGGAAAGAACACACGCACGCACACATACACACGCACGCGCGTGCACACACGTGCACACATACATGCACAAGCACACACACACGCAGGGAAGGAGGCCAGCAAAGACGGGAGCAGAGGCTGGAAGGGTGATGCCACCAGCCAAGGGGACCAGGAGCCGCCACAGCGCAATCGGCAGTGAAGGGGCCTCCCCCAGAGCCTCGGGAGGGAGCGAGGCCCTGCTGATACCTTTCGTTCGGACTCTGGCCTCCAGGGCTGTGGACAAATCATTCCTGTGTTTTAAGTCACCCAGTGTGTGGCGATTTGTTACGGGAGCCACAGGAAATGAATCCGAGGAGGAAACATCCCGAGTAAACCAGGCCCTTGGGAGTGGGAATGAGCCTCAGAGGAAGGAGGCTGAGCCCGAAAGGGTCGTTGACAGCATGTGCCCTGCACAGACGCCGAGGCCAGGGCTGAGGCCGGGGCCCGGGGGCTGGACAGAGGGCCGAGAGCGACCTGCTGAGCTGTGTCATTTCAGTGAAACGACATTACCCGAAACCAGGGGTGGGGAATGTCCAGCTCACATCACAGCCTCATCGCATTAGCCTGGCCTAACAGAGCAGGATAATTTTTAAGTTGATAATGTTAAATGGCCCATGAATGATGTTATAAATACCCAAATGGCGCTTGGCGGAAAGATGGTTCCCTGCCCCCGTGTGCCATCTCTGTCTCAAGCACCAACTTACTTGACATCTCGGAATCACAGCAGCACGAAAGAGCAACGCTGCTGTGGGTCAGGGAGCCGGCCTGGCGAAAGGCTGTCTGCACACCAGGCCCGCCGCCCCCTGACCGGTGCCAACCTGGGCATCATATCCGGGGACCTGCAGGCAGAATGAGGAGGTGGAAAATCAACCTTTCCAAGTCCTCAGGTCAGAAAGATATTGAACATGGAGATGAAAAATGAGACTCAGAAAAGAAAAACCTCTTTGCATGCATATTATCTGCAACAAATCAAAACAAATATGCAAGCATCTCCTGAAACTGCTGGGAAGAAAATATAAACCATTTTTTTTTTTTTTTTTTTGAGTAACGTAGGTACTACTACTAATTTAAAATGTGCAAAATGCCAACCGCGTTGCCTTTATTTAGACATCCGTCTTTAGGATTAATGTAACAATAAAAAGGTCTTTCATACATTTTCCCCAGCAGAACGTTATTTTTCCACCAGATCTCACATTCTGCAAAAGCCGATTTTCCTATCTGCCCACCAACACCCCGCCGTGGTTCGTCTGGTGAAAAAGTATTTTTAGGCCTCCCAACTGGGGTGGTCGAGCTACAAGCCTTGATTTACACGGGATTCTGTTGACATGCGACATTTTCTGGACCACTAACCCCAGTCATCTGTAGCGCCTCCCACCCACCCGTCTGCTCCTGGCCCCTCAGATGGCAGGAACTGCTTTGCGCCTGATGTTCAATTAAGCATTTAATGAACCAAACTGAACTGGATGGGAACGTTGCCTGAAATAAAGGCTTCAAGAGGCAGAAGGACCGCGGGGAGCCTCGGAAGATGGGCAATCCAGGGGGGCTGGAGGGGTTAGGGGGACGGGAATGGAGCTGCAGAGGTCTTGATTTTGTAGGTAACGGGGAGCTACCCAAAGTGAGCGGTTGTCGTGTCTCAGAAAGTTCACTCTGGCAGCAGAAAAGGGTGGATGTGTTTTAGGGGAAGGTGATGCATTAAGTTAAAAAAAAAAAAAAAAAAAAAAGGAGACAAAAAGAGCAAGAAGGAATCCAGTCAGCACCGTCCAGGCAAGAGACGAAGAGGAAAGACCTGGAGGAGCAGGATGGAGGAAGGGACACAGGCGATTAGAAGCAGAATCAATGGCTGATCTGCTGGACAGGATGTCTCTGTCTTAGCCTGAGTGTCTCCGTAACTCCCCACCACCTGCACACGCGGAATCCAGGATCCAGGACAGAGGTGTGTGTGCAAGTAGGAGATTTAAGCAACAGCCCCAGGGAGCAGGAGAGAGGGGTCAGGGCAGTGGGGCAGGAAAGAGGGGCACAGCACATGAGGATGCGGAACCTTATCAGTGACTCCAGCCTCTCAGACCTTCCAGGAGCCATGCCACCCCCGCTGGCTCAGGGTGTGCCCACGGGCGTCCACGGCCCTGCTCTGGGCAGCCCTGCATGGGTGCGTGCCCAGCAGGGCCCTGGCTGCCCCGGTGTCCCATGTCACCTCAGAGAAGCCCCTGGGCAAGAAGTGAGAGGTATTGTCTCACTGCACCTGAGCTCAGTTCTATATTTTACTATTTTTCACAGCAACTGTTTCCTCATTTTTGAACAAGGGGCCCGGCATTTCATTTTGCACTGGGCCCTACAAATTGTGTAGCCTGTCCTGCCTGGGACTCCTACAAGGAAGGCCAACACAGGTCCTGCCTGATCACAGGCAACGTGTCAACGTGTCATCATCTTATTTGGAGTGTGTGTGTGTGTTTCCAGTTTGCATCAGGCCCTGTGTGTGTGTGTGTGTGTGTGTGTTTCCAGTTTGCATCAAGCCCTGGGTGTGGGAACAGACCAAGGAGGGCTGCAGCGTTTGAAGCTCAGGTGTGCTATTACTGCCACCTTGTGTTCAACTTGTGCACAGCACAGAGCTCCAGGAGGAGACTCCCCAGCAAGGCCACTGGGGCTGCTAGGAGAAGTAGGTGCAAAGACCACCCACACTCCATGGCTGGTGCCCCAGGAGGGTTACTATTCAGCTGGCGGTGTTCAATGAAGGCAGACTGTCCATACACACCATTTCAGAGCCAGTGTGCGTGTGTGTGCATGTGTGCGTGTGTGTATGTGTGCATGTTTGTCTGTGATTTTCCACCAACACGTTCTTTCCTTCACTCTCACCTGCCTCCTGCTCATGGCTCCTCTCATAGCTGACCCCACACATGGGCCACCGAAAGCCCCACAAGGCTGGTTCGTTTGAGTCCAACCGTCTCTCCGGATTTCCTCCCGGGGGGCCTGCCCTGGGGGCCCCTCCTGGAGAACCCGTGTGGGGAAGCAGGGGCCAAGCGGGTGGGTGGCCAGGTCCTGAGTCAGCCTGGGCAGGACAAGGGCTCTAAGGACAGGCATACACCACGTACATATCCTGCTGCATGGCTCTGAAGTTCACCAACATATTCACCTCCATTTTCTTGTTTGTAAGGTTTTGTTAGCATTTAACTCTTTCATTTATCTAAAATTTATTTTGATACATGGTAAGAGGTAAAAATGGAATTAAAACACTTTCCCCCACATCTTTAAACAGTTGTTCCAGCACCACTAGTCCAGCGGTTTTTATGCTCCCTTTACTACATAACAGGTCGTGGCTAACTAGGTGTATTCGGGACTATTCGAGTTCACTTTCCTGTCTTGATTTAGCAGTTGGCATGCTTTATAAATGGCCTTTGAACATCTGGTAGGGCAAAACTATTAAGGTATTTTTCTTTTTAACACCTTATAGCTTTCTACCTCCTTCCCATCCCACTTATTCTTTTATATATATTTTCACATTGTTTTATTAGAAAAAATTTCACTGGGGTATTGATTGAATTGGTACAAAATCTATACATTAACCAGCGGATATGTTTTATAAGTAAGGATTCCATGACAGGTGGGCCTTTGTCCTTGAGCTGTCACTTCTCCAGAGAACAGTGTGGCGTGGGGGTCAACAGTGTGGGACATGGCCCAGGTCTTTATCTGTGAGGTTGGCAAGTCACCTCACCTCTCTAGGCCCCAACTTTACCATCTCTACAATCGTTTTTATTATCTTATTAGGCCTAGAATCAACGCGGTGCTTAGAATAGTCTCTCACAATCAAATCTCAGAACACTTGACTCTTAAAATTCCTCTGCTCACCCAAAAATACCTTGTAAGCCTCCAATAGAAAGACAGTATGGAAGAAGCAAAGGCATTATAACTGGCAATGGAGCATATCCACCTATAGCTAACGCTATAATTTCCAACTGAATACACTTATCAGAAGGGCAGGGATTTTTCTCTGTCACTCCACCTCACACACATGTACACAGTGGTATATAACAGGCACTTAAAATGAATTTGTTGATTAAATAAACGAATGAATAACGATGGTTCTTCTGGTCCTAGAATCCCAGGGCAGTTCAGCCCAACAGCCTCACCCAGGTCCTGTCGAATGGCCAGGGAGAACCGCAGACTCCTTGGGAGAACTCGAGATAAAGTGAGCCTTCCTTTGGCCTTGCCAAGCTTCCCACACACTAATGGAGGGGGAGGGGGAGAGAGATCTTGGGCTGTTTTACCAAACCAACACAATTAATTAAAGAAGACCCTGGAGTCTTATCTCACTATCTCTGAGATTCCTATTTTACCAGCCATTAAATTGCTTTAACCTCTTCTCTTACAGTGAAAAACAGCCTAATAAGAAAATGATGCTGTTTAAGACACTGTACACACATGTTCATAGTAGCATCATTCACAATAGTCAAAGGTAGGAGCAAAGCATCCATCTACAGATGAATGGATAAACAAAATGTGGTATGTCCATACAATGCAGTATCTATTATTCAGCCATAAGAAGGAAGTACTGGCACATGCTACAACATGGATGTTGTATGATTCCAAGGACAAGTGTATGATTCCACTTACATAAGCTACACAGAGGAGTCTGATTCATAGGGACAGGAAGCAGAACGGTGGTTGCTGGGGGCTGGGGTGCAGGGGAATGGGAAGTTAGTGTTGAATGGGTAGTAGTTTCGGCTTGGGAAGTTAAGTTCTGGGATGGAGGTGGTTATGGTTGGACAATGTGAATGCACTTAATGCCGCTGAACTCTACACTTCAAAATGAATACGATGACCTGAAAGTTCCCTGTACTGCTGACCGAAATCAGCAATTTGTAAATGGCCTTGCTCCCCTTTTAATACAGAAGATGTATGTGTGTACACATAGACAGAGCGGGGCCACATCGTCGCCATCATCAACATGATCATTATCATCATTATAGTGGAGAGAGATTCGTAGCATCTACAAGAGGGATGACAGAGAGAGAGCTGACAATAATTGTAGGTTCTGGCACATAGCACCCTAAACTGCATGGAGGCTCTAGGAGGAGGAGCAGGCCTAGTGAGACCTGGACTTAGGGGAAGGGACACTGGCGACAAGGAACCGGTGGGTGGGGGCGGGGGCGGAAGGAAAGGACGTGGGTAGGAGCGAAGGTAGCCCAGGAGGGTCGGTAAAGCAGGGAGCAACGAGTGAGGGGCATCGCGCGGCCCATCAACACCACAGCGGCCCCTAGGCTTGCAGTTTGCCCAAGTGCCGGTCATCACCAGAGAACGCAGATCGCACACCCGACCCCTCCTTCCTGCAGGCTGAAGACCCGCCCGCCGCCCCGCCCCCTGCGGCCCAGGCCCCGCCCCTCGGGTGTCCGTCCTCCGCAGTGTCAATAAAGTTGCAGCAGTTTGACTTTGCGGCGGACAACATGGCGGCCTCCATGCTGGGCTTGCTGCTGCGGACCGTCCGGCAGGTCAGGCCCGCGCCCCCCTCGCCACCCCTCGCCCTTCCCCGCAACCCCCAAACCCGCGGCCCCCCACTTCTCTGCCACCTGTAGAGCCCAGAGCGGACCCGTCCCAGGGGTTATCCCTCCGCCGCTCGGCTCGGGGGAGGCCCGAGCTGCCGACGGGACCCCGGTGTCCGTGGTGTCCGTGAACGGGAGACTGACCGGCGGGGACAGCTCCAGGTCGGCTCCGGGCTGTAAGGAAGGGGGTGTAGGTGGCAGAGAGAAGGGGTCCAGGAGTGAGCCCCGGGGACTCCAGCGTTAAGGGAAGAGCCGGGCGAAGGAGACGGAGGGAGCTCAGCAGGGACGGGAAGCGGGGAGCGTGGCGGCCTGCGAGGGTGACAGTTCCCGGGGCGCGGAGAGCCCAGCGCCGCTCAGCCGCGGGGTGGGAGCCGGCGGGGGCCGGCGTGGAGGAGGCGGGGGGTTAGCGGGGTGGGAGCCGGCGGGGGCCGGGGTGGAGGAGGCGGGGGGTTAGCGGGGTGGGAGCCGGCGTGGTGGAGGAGGCGGGGGGTTAGCGGGACGGGAGCCGGCGGGGCCGGGGTGGAGGAGGCGGGGGGTTAGCGGGGTGGGAGCCGGCGGGGCCGGGGTGGAGGAGGCGGGGGGTTAGCGGGGTGGGAGCCGGCGGGGGCGGCGTGGAGGAGGCGGGGGGTTAGCGGGGTGGGAGCCGGCGTGGTGGAGGAGGCGGGGGGTTAGCGGGACGGGAGCCGGCGGGGGCCGGGTGGAGGAGGAGGCGGGGGGTTAGCTGGGCGGGAGCCGGCGGGGGCCGGGTGGAGGAGGAGGCGGGGGTTAGCGGGGTGGGAGCCGGCGGGGGCGGCGTGGAGGAGGCGGGGGGTTAGCTGGGCGGGAGCCGGCGGGGGCCGGCGTGGAGGAGGCGGGGGGTTAGCTGGGCGGGAGCCGGCGGGGGCCGGCGTGGAGGAGGCGGGGGGTTAGCTGGGCGGGAGCCGGCGGGGCCGGGGTGGAGGAGGCGGGGGGTTAGCGGGGTGGGAGCCGGCGGGGGCCGGCGTGGAGGAGGCGGGGGGTTAGCTGGGCGGGAGCCGGCGGGGGCCGGCGTGGAGGAGGCGGGGGGTTAGCTGGGCGGGAGCCGGCGGGGGCCGGCGTGGAGGAGGCGGGGGGTTAGCTGGGCGGGAGCCGGCGGGGCCGGGGTGGAGGAGGCGGGGGGTTAGCGGGGTGGGAGCCGGCGGGGGCCGGCGTGGAGGAGGCGGGGGGTTAGCGGGGTGGGAGCCGGCGGGGGCCGGCGTGGAGGAGGCGGGGGGTTAGCTGGGCGGGAGCCGGCGGGGCCGGGGTGGAGGAGGCGGGGGGTTAGCGGGGTGGGAGCCGGCGGGGGCGGCGTGGAGGAGGCGGGGGGTTAGCGGGGTGGGAGCCGGCGTGGTGGAGGAGGCGGGGGGGTTAGCGGGACGGGAGCCGGCGGGGGCCGGCGTGGAGGCGGCGGGGGGTTAGCGGGGCGGGAGCCGGCGGGGGCCGGCGTGGTGGAGGTTGTTGGGGCAAAAGCGGTCAAGAGAGATAGGACCCTAGGAGTAGAGACGAGCCTCTGAAGACATTTTGCTGCAAAGTGGGGCAGAAAAATGCGTCGATGGCTGGAGGAGCGGTGGGTGTCGTGTGTGTGTTGACAGAGGTCACTGCGTGTTTTTGTGGCAAAAAAGTGACGGAGAGGGCAGAGCGCTGGAGCTGTGTGTCCCTGTGTAGGCAAGAGGTGGTGGATCTCATGCGGGACCCTGTTTGCTCTTAGAGGCGTGGGCCGTGCATCTGGAGTAGCCTTGCCCAGTAGATAGTGCCAACCACATATGTAACTTAAATTTTCTAGTAGCACATGTAAGTTTTTAAAACATGAAGCTAACTTAACTTTTTCTCCCCCAGGCGTGGGAGAATAAAGAGCTACAGGGAAAGCGCTCAGAAGGGATACAAAGTCCCGAGAGCAAACATCTGGAGTTGTTCAGAGAAGAAACTGAGGATGTAGACTCTCATGGTGGTAGACCGTTAGCTGAAGAGGGCCCAGTGGAAGATTTAGGAGGTGAAGAGGAGTGAGACCGCAGGATAGGACATGTGCAGAACAGAACAGAAGGCAGTTTTAATAGATAAAGCACTGTTATAAACTGGTAAGAAAAACCAATATAATAGAAATGTGGGCAAAGGACATAAAACAGAAGAAATAACATAGACCAATACATTTTTAAAGTGTCTAATTTTAAAAGTCAGAAAAAAAATTATATAAAGAATGAAAGTGTGTTTTTTTAATAAATAGAAACCTGTTGGGAAATGGTAGCAAGGAAGTTGATTAGCAATAGTCTGAAGAACTGAAGGAGAACAGTGTATAATTTTGTTTCCTAAGTCTCCTTAGGAAAGGTAAAAGCAAACCTTGTGTTGCCCCTACAGCAATTATTTAGCCAGAATGATCTCCCCGGGTCTTAGTGACTTCATCTTGTTCATTTCCTTGTTTGGTTTGGACAAACTCCACCTTCTCTCCCCTTCCCCACCCCACAACTGTATCAAAATTCTGTCAGTCCTTCAAAGCTCTACTGGAACCCCCTTTCCCGTGACCCCTGTTTCCAGCCATGGCGACCACGGTGTTTTGACTCAGTCATGTGTCAAATCAGCACTGAAATTCCTACTGCTTGCCTTCATTCCAAAAGGTGACTGCCACTCTGGCTGGTTTGGCTCAGCGGTAAGAGCATTGGCCTGTGGACCAGAGTCCGGGTACCTTGGCTGTAGTTTGTCCCTGGCACTGGTTGATCTCTCTCTCTCTCTCTCACTCTCTCTCTCTCCCTCTCTCTCTCTCTTCCTCCCTTCTCTCCCTCCTGCACTCTCTGAAGATAAATCACTCTCTGGAGATAAATGCAAAAATGTCCTTGGGTGAGGATAAAAAACAAACAAAAGGTGACTACAGAATTATTGTATTTCCCTATGAGATCGATTTTAACATTGAAAGTACTGAGTTTCTCTTTTGTTAACAGATTGAAAAACTGTTGGCTTTCTAGTATAGTATTCTCATTTCACTTTTATATTCTGTAGAATGTTATACATATATGTCTTCTAGAAAGTGCTGTTAATAGGAAGCCATCATTATTTTCTGTATCTGCAATGTAATTGACATGTAATGCTTGCTCTGGTTGGGGAAATGCCTGAGGTTTTAGTGGCCTGTACTCGACGCCTGGACTGTCGTTCAGAACTGTAGACTAGCACCATGTAAACGTGACAATAGGCGCCTGCTGTCTTCTTACTGGACAGCTCATGCGATGATCATTTCAAAGTACCCTTTGACCCTGCAGTTCTACTTCCAAGAATTTATCCTGCTCATATGCAGGAAAACGTCTGAAATGATTTATATACCAGGTTATTCATTGCAGCATTTTTTGCAGTGACAGATGGTGAGGTGTGGTCTAGCTGGCCGCCAATAAGTTGCAGGTTAAATAATTATGATGCATCCTTAGGGGGAAAATAATTTCCCTCGAGCCTTCTGACCCTTCTAAGTTCTTAGCTGGGGCCCATTAACAAAAACAGATTAGCGAGAGAAAAGCATACAATCGGTCAGTTTTACGTGACACGGAGCCTTTACAAGGAAATGAAGACCTGAAGAAGCAGTTCGACCTGAGTGTTTTGTGCCAGGTTTGATGGGTGCAGTGTTCTGGGAACATTCACAGGACAAGGTGTGAACTAAGTGTAATCAGGGGAAACAGCAAGGCCTGTCTGTTGAGAAAGTTCTCAGTTCAGAGATAAGTGTGTTCCCTCCACGCACACCCCACTTCAGGTGAGGGTCTTACAGCTTCAGGGGAAGGTCAGAAAGTCCTGTGTGCACATGCCATTTTCCAGATTGCTTTTGCTTGAAATAGTCAACATGCCAAGGTGCTGTATTTTGAGGTAGTGTTTCGTAAACCCTGTCAATCCGTATAGTGGCATATCAGAAGACAAGGAAGATTTTCTGGATATGGAAAGATCTCTGAGATATATTGTTAAATGTGAATAAAGGGCGGAGGATGAAACTTGGGAGAAGGAGTGTATACATGTATTTGTATAGACAAGTTTTTCGAAGAAACTAGCTAAGAGTGGACGCCTTTGGAGGTAGGGCGTGGTCACTGGGCAGGTGAGGGATGATTTGGGAGGGAGACTCCACTGTGTGTCTTTTTATACTTTATATACTTAAAAAAAAATTTGAACCATATAATTATTAGTCTGAGTAAAGGTCAAACAATTATATTAAAAATCACTAAAAACAGTAGTTGGTCATAGTAGTGACTAAAAGAGGACTGCAGGGTGGGGACGCCGGCAAAGCCTGGGTCTGACTGTCTGCCTCTCCTTGTCGCGCAGATGGCTCCTTCATCGGCTCCGGGTCAGGTCCGAGGTTACTATGTGGACTGGAAAATGTTGCGGGATGTGAAGAGACGGAAGATGGCCTATGAGTATGCGGATGAGAGGCTACGGATTAATTCACTCAGGAAGAATACCATTTTGCCAAAATACCTTCAGGTTAGTTAAGATGAGTCCCTGGCCCTGGCCGGTTTGGCTCAGCGGTTAGAGCGTCGGCCTGCGGTCTGGAGAGACCCGGGTTCGGTTCCCGCTAAGGGCACATACCTCGGTTGCAGTTTGTCCCCGGCCCTGGTCGGTCATGCGGATGGCAGCCACTCGATGTGTCCCTTTCACATCGATGTTTCTCTCCTCTCTCTCTGTTCCTCTCTCTCCCTCCCACTCTACTTGAACAAAAAATGGAAAAATGTCCTCGGGTGAGGATAAAAAAAAAAAAAAGATGAGTCCCTGTCCATCCAAGGTCATTAACTCAAATCAGATCACTTTTATAAGATACTGTTGTGACTTACCATCAGATTAAAGAAAATTATTCATTTGTAACTACCGGACTTTTAACTGTTTCATTAGGTGAGCCTTAGAACGTACTGGGCATGGTAGCCACACAGAAACCGGGCAGTTATTTTGACCCCAGGTCTCTCCCCACCTCATCCCAGTGCCCTGAGCTTTGCCTGTGCCTGGGCAGTGTTTCTCCCCAGGGCCATTCCTGGCCTACCTGTCTGAGCCCCTTTGCCCATCTGTGTGTGCAGCTGTTCTTCATGGTCTGCCTCCCTGGACCGTCCTTCATTCTTCCAGGCTGGTCATTTCTCTCCTCTCCAGTTCTTCCTCCTTTGGCACTTACTGTCTACCAGTCATTGACTTATTTGTGTTGTTTTATATGATTCTCTTAAGTATTTCTTTTTTTTTTTTTTTTAATCCTCACCCAAGGATATTTTTCCACTGATATTTTTTTCAGATACCTCGGGAGGGAAGGAGAGAGAGAAACATCGATGTGAGAGAAGCACATCGATTGGTTGCCTCCCACTTGACCCCGACGGGGGCCAGGGGTCGAACTTGCAACCAAGGTATGTGCCCTTGACCAGAATCGAACCTGCGACTCTGGTCCGAGGGGCTGACGCTCCAACCAACCACTGAGCCAAACCAGCCAGGGCTCTAAGTGTTTCTTAACAACAACATATATATAAGCTTTTGGAGATCAGAAACTATTCTTAATGCTTAATAGTTATGTTAATTTAGTGGCTTTCATGTGCATTTTCTCCTTTAATCTATGTACTTTTAATATGTTAACATAGTTGTTTTGCTTCTACCACAGTCTAGCACAGGGTCAGTCATACCTGTCAGATTAAAGTGAATATACTACACCCACATATATACACACACTTTATAGCACATACGTGAGAATAAATCGCAACAAAACGTAGCCAAGCCACCGCAGCGATCTCTGTCTTTCTCCCACACCACTTTGCCCTCACCAAACTCACTCTGCATTGCATATGATCTTTCAAATGTGTGCATCTCATCTGATCACTCACCTTTGCTTCTCCACGGTCAGAACCTTGACCGCAGACGTCAAGACTCTGTGGGGTCCTACCCTTCCTCCCTCTCCAGCCTCACCTCAACTGCATTTCTTCCTACTCCATCTTCAGCCCAGAAGCCTCTTACTTCCATGATTCAAAAATCACATAGGAGCTAACCTAACTTTATACCTCGAGGAACTAGAAAAAGCAGAGCAAATGAAGCCCAAAGGGAGAAGAAAGGAAACGACAAAGTTAAGAGCAGAGATAATGAAATAGAGACCAGACACTGAAGATCAACGCAACCATGAGCCAGTGATTTCAAAAGATAAGCAAAACTGACAAACCTTTAGCTAGACTAACAAAGTAAAAAACAGAGTAGTCAAATAAAATCAGAAATGAAACATTACAACTGATACCACAGAAGTACAAGGCCATCAGAGAGTGATATAAGCATACAGTGTCCCCACCACTTCGCGCTTTGACTTTCGTGGCTTCACTCTATTGCGGTTCCTACTTGAAGAACCCTACTTCGCGGAGATTCATTTATCACTGTAGTTTGGAACTGATTAACCGTGATAAATGAGGGCCGACTGTACATGCCAACAAATTGGATAACCTAGGAGAAATGAACAAATTCCTAGAAACATAACAACCTACCAAACTCAAACTTTTCCAAAATACTGAAGGGGGGGGAACACTCCCACATTCACTTTATGACGCGACACTATCACCCTGATACTGACACCAGGTAAGGACACTACAAGAAAAGACAACTACCGACCAATATCCCTGATGAATAGAGATGCAAAAGTTCTCAACAAAGTACTAGCAGAGCAAATTCAGCAGCACAGTAAAAGGACCACACACCATGATCAAGTGGGATTCATCCCTGGGCTGCAGGGATGGTTCAACATGCAGATGAATAAATGTGCACCACATTAACGCACAGAAATAAAGGTAAAGATTATGTGATCTTCTCAACAGATGCAGAAAAAGCATTTGACAACCCTCAATACCCTTTCATGATAAAACTTACCGAATTAGGGATGGAAGGAACACACCTCAGTGTAATAAGCCCACAGCTAATACACTCAACCAGGGGAGGCCGGAAGTGTTTCCTCCAAGATCAGGAACGAGAGAAGGATGCCCCTTCTCGCCACGCTGTTCAACACAGTGCTGGCGTCCTCGGGCAGGACAAGGAAGAAGGCATACGAGTCGAAAGGAAGAAGTAACACTCTTTGTTTTCAGATGAGGTAATCTTACACACAGAAAATCCTAGACTCCAACAAAAAACTGTTAGAACTAATCAATGAATTCAGTCAAGTTGCAGGATACAAATCAGCGAAAGAATTCAGATGCGCCCCGGTCGGGTAGCTCAGTTGGTTAGAGCATCGTCCCAATACACCAAGGTTGCAGATTCGATCTCTGATCAGGGCTCATACAAGAAGCGACCAATGACTACATCAATAAGTGGGACAGCGAATCAATGTTTCTCTCTCCCCCTTTTCTCTCAGAAAAAAAAAATTCAGATGCATTTCTATGTACCAACAACAAAGTATCTGGAAAAATGAACAATCCCATTTAAATTAGCATCAAACCCAATAAAACACCTAGGAATAAATTCAAGGTGAGAGATCTGTGCACTGAAGACTAGATGCTGCCGATCTAGTCTCTGGTCGCACAGTCATGTTCCGTGTGTGATGTTGCTGAGCTTTACACTGTGGTTTGTGGGTTCTCATGAATCTGTGTTACGTTTCAGTTACATTTTTAAAATCATATTGGGAGCATGTCAAACACTTCCGTCATTTTCTGGTCTGTTCGTCTCTACGTGAGGTTACGGTTCCCTGTGTTCAGGGTTCTTTGACCAAACTCTGGCCACGTTAGAGAATCCAGCCTGTTGTTTTCTTCCTGTGAGCATTGACGTCGGCGTCTAGACTAAATGAATTCATGTGATCTGGGTGACAGTGTTGTGACTTCCCTTAGGAAGTGGCTCATGAAGAAATCGCTGCCCTCCCCCGGGATAGCTGTCCCGTCAGAATCAGAAACCGGTGTGTGATGACGTCCCGTCCACGTGGTGTGAAGCGGCGCTGGAGGCTCAGTCGCATTGTGTTCCGTCACTTAGCCGACCACGGGCAGCTGTCTGGGGTCCAGCGAGCAATGTGGTGACCAGCTCCAGACCTACTCAGCTCGAGGGACACCGCTTCTGACAAGAGACACGTGCTAACAGACAAAAGCCTACTTTTACAGGCGTCCAGTAGTCTCCCTGCCGCCTATGAGTTACTTTTAAAATTTCAATGACGAAATCTGGATGTTTCACTGTCAGTGAATTATCTTTCTATTGGACTACATTAAGCATAACTGTCCCCATGCATGGTGCAGAGAGTAATAAAAAATATTTTCTATGAAAATATGCTCTGTATTCTTGCCTTTTCCTTCCAGGTCTACTCTTCCAGCAACAAAGAAGTGTTCCCGTGTTCAAGGGCACCGTCTCCTAGCAGCGTGAGTCCTGGCTAACCCAGCTCTCCGGCTGGAGCAGCTGTCCGTGGCAGGCAGGCCGCCCCGCCGGGCTGCTTCCGACTGCAGCCGCTTCTCTCCAGTCCACTGTCCGAGCGCACGGGGAGGGTAGAGCCGAGTCTGGATGGTCTGCTGCTGTTTCTCTACGGCGGCTGAACAAGCAGCGGAGCCACTAAGTGTTTTCCTGTTCCATCTTCAAGGGCCCTTGGAACAAAGCCCCTGAAAATCTATCCAAAGAGGAAGAGTTTTGTTGAATATATATATTCTCTATTCATGTTATTTCAGCTGTAGCAGAAGTGAGTTAAGGTAGCAAAAGGTTTTCTCTGCAGTAACAGTGTGATCAGCCCAGTGGCAAATACGTGCTGAGTATGGCAGCACCTGCTTAGCATGGGAAGGACACCTGCACTTGCATCAGGAGGCTGGGATGAGTCTGCAGGCGGGAAGCCGCGGCACACAGGTGTCAGGGATGTAGTCACTTCAATGTAGCAAGCATGAAGCTCAAGTCAAGGGCCACATCAGGGCCATGCCACGGCAAGGGGTTAAGGCTTGATTTAAATACCAGCTACTGGAGAGTTTTCAGCAAAGGAACGGCATCATCAGCTTGCTCTGCTGATGGCAGACGGCCATGCGAGGAAATCTACAAGCAAGGTACCCAATCAGGATGGCTTCAATGTTCAGGTACACTAGGGACTGAACTTAAGTAGTGATATTAGCAAAGGAGAAGATAGGACAGTTAAGTATTTAGGAAAGACAGTTAAGTATTTAGGAAAGAAAATTGGGCAAGACTTGAGAGGCTGCTTATGTCTAAAGGTGGAAGGGCTCTCTGGGCTCCTGGTGAGGGATTAGATACATGGCAGACGGTAACCAGACGGGGAGAACGGGTTTGGGAGACACATCCGTGAGTTCAGGTCTCAGTCGCGCGTGTTGGGAGGCCCGCTGTCCTGGAGGTGTCTACTGTCAGCTGAGGGCAGTCAGGAACTCTGGAGGTGAACTGAGAGAGGGAATTATGATGGACCTCGGATTCTTATTTCCTAAATGTACAACTTACAAACTGGAATGCTCTAGCTACTCCCAACTAGAAACTAGTTGTTAATCAAATTATAACTGGAACATCACATTGGCTGACCCCCGGCCTTTTTTGTTTGAATTGGGATCCAAGCACAATCCACATTTGGTGGCTATGTCTCTCCTTTTTCTCCGGGTCTTTCATTTGTTGGAAGAGCCAGATTATTTGTTCCTGTAGTGTCCAACATTTGGCTAGTTCGCTTCTTCATGTGTCTTTTAACTTAATCTCCTGTCCCTATAAACTGGCTGTTACATCCAAAGGCTGACTAGACACAGGTCCACTTTTTTAGAACCGAATTTTCACGTGTGTGCTGTGGACACTGTCACATCGCATCAGAAGGCACTTCCTGGTTGTCCAACTTCTAGTGATTGATCAGGGGTTCCGCCTCCTCCCTGCATTTAAGGTTCATTAACCTGCCGTCTATCACTAAGGACTGCAGTGGGGATGTTCTAAGGGCCATTAGTTTTCTGCATTAGCTGGAGTTTGTGAGGAACTTCCCCTTATCAACAGTGTATCACTCTGAAATACATTTCTGACCATGAAGGCCAGATAAATGCATGATTTTCTAGCAGTCTTCAGAGTAAATGAATTGGTGCTCTAGCAACTTCCAAAGGTAACAAATAATTTTTCACAGCCAAACTTGTAAATTTTCTTTCAGTCCATTGCAGACATTATTTTGAGGCTCAAGTTAACCTCCCACTGCCCTTATCCTCCCACTACCGGGCCCTTTATCCCACTGACTTGACACGGGGCGTCCGATCTCTCCGAGCTTCTGGCAGAAGACGACCCAGGCCTCCCTTGGTATGTCCTGCCTCAGGCGTCTTCTCAAGCGTCCAGGTCCTTTTAGGAGGAAATGATGTGGAGGGACCACATCTGAGCACGCAGGGTGTCTGAACTGTCACTGCTTTAAGCTTTTAGACCCTTCTGGTGGGACTTGCAAACAGATGAATATTTTTTTCAAGATAAAAATAGTAAGTTCACATTGATTTTATACTTATAAAAAATCTTAGCTACTAATGACATCAATCTAGTTTCAGTATCTCACTAGCAACGGACAGTCAAAACACCATGTTCTAAAGTCACCTGAAAGCAACAGGTGTTTTATAAGAACTTCATATGCATTAGGGTTTTTTCCAAATTTTAGGGTTTAAAAAATATATATATGTATGTGTATACACACACATACACACATAAATATATATTTTGCATTTATCTTAGAGCGGGAGGGAGAAGGGGGGAAGAGAAACATTGACATGAGACACATCAACTGGTTGCCACCCACACGACCCCAACTGGGGCTAGGGACAAACTGCAACCGAGGTGCATGCCTTTAGTGGGAACCGAACCCAGGACTCTCTTGTTCGTAGGCCAACGCTGTACCTGCTAAGCCAAACTGGCCAGGGATAGGGTTATTTTTTTTTTTATTTAGCTCTTAAATTTTGGATGGTTCTAGAGTCAATCTAAAGAAAAAGGTACATTTACAAAAGTAATGCTTCCATTCTGCCTCTCCTTTCCCATTTCTAATCATTTTTTTAAATATGTTTTTACTGATTTCAGAGAAAAAAGGGGAGGGGGAGAAAGAGAGAAACATCGATAAAAGAAACACTGATCAGCTGCCTCCTGCACACCCCCTGCTGGGGACGGAGCCTGAAACCTGGGCATGTGCCCTGACCTCTTGATGCATGGGTCAGTGCTCAGCCACTGAGCCACACCGGCCTGGCCCGGTGATAACCAGTTTTATTAGTTTGGGCTTACTCTTCCCGTTTCTTTTTGAAATGCAAAAAAATGAATGAGGGTGTGCGTGTGCACCCCCATGCACCCACTCTACCCTGAGGCAGTTAAGTGGACCATCAACGGTGTTCCTTCTGCCTTTCCACTTGCCGTGTCCCGGGATCATTCGATACTCTTCTCCTCTGAACAAGGTGGGCATCTTCTCACGTTCAGGTTCGCTTACATTTCTGTCAACAGTTTGTTCTTAATTTTGACACCTCCATGATGTGTCGTTTTACTGTGGGATTTGGGGGGGGGTATGTAAACATTATGTTGTTCAAATTAACCAATATTTAGCCTTATTACTTCTAGAATTTAAGTCACATATTGTAGGTTTCCCTCACTCGTCGGTAATTACAGTTTTTTCTATCCATGTCTTAGTCCTCACATGGCTTCGTTTTTTTTTTCCACCTGCCTGGAACGGCTTTGTTTTTATATTTAAATCTCTCGTGTTTGGAATGTATACATATGGCTACTTTAGGTTATCTGAATAAAAACCCGTGTCTTCCCGTTTTGAAATGCTATTAGAGGAATACCTTGGAGATACTGCAGGTTTGGTTCCAGACCACTGAAATAGAGTGTCGCAATTAAGCAAGTGGTAAACGCTGTGCTGGTGGGGGCCTTGCCTTCGGTTTGTAACGAATGCGACACCTGTGAAGCGCAATAAAGTGGTGCTCAATACAACTCCTGCCTTGGTCTGTGTTCTGCTCCAGCGGTCTCTTACCCAGGGGTCAGCATCACAGCTTTAGGCACAGATGTTCAATGATGTGTTCAGGCTGGTGACAACTGTCCTACAGATAGGCTGTCTGTGCATTCTAAATACCACTACCCCTTCACTCTACCACTGCACCCAATTCTCTCACTAGGGTAGTTTTGGTTAATCCTCTTGGATTTTTCTTCTGTGTGTTTAACTGCTTTCTCTTACCTCAGCTGCACTGGTAAATGTGTCCAATACAGCACAGTGATGGAGATCACAGGCACTTTGCTCTTACTCCTGATGTTAGGGGCGAGTCCCTCTAAAACAGCGGTTCTCAACCTGTGGGTCGCGACCCCTTTGGGGGCCGAACAACCCTTTCACAAGGGTCGCCTAAGATATATCAGTAGCAAAATTACAGTTATGAAGTAGCAACAAAAATAATTTTAGGGCTGGGGTCACCACAACATGAGGAGCTGTGTGAAAGGGTCGCAGCATCAGGAAGGCTGAGAAGCACTGCTCTAAAATAAACACCCTCCCCCCGACCAAAGCCTAACTTTTCCTAGATAAACAGATAGTAAAAATATTCTACTGAATAAAAACCTAATTTTATTGAAAACAGGAAACAGATTTTCACATTTGTTTTTGGCTTATGGTTATTGCTGTTGTAAGCTACCTGACCCATGGCAACACTTACTAATTGGTACTATACCAAGATGTGTGTCTGTTCTTGTCCAGATCAGATTTAGTTTCAATTTATTCAGAAACATATATTTAAACCTAGAAAACACATTTGTGATTGGGTCGTCTGGGCATAACGCATGGTATATGCATTATTTACATTGTTAACAGAAGAGAGATCAATGTCTCTACAGTGACCTTGAAGCACAGATATGAATTTGCATTTTCTGTAAAAATTCAAGTTTTATTTACTTATTTGTTACATTTTAAGAACTAATATTATGAACTTAACAAGCAATAACATTTTTCTACCTCTTAACTGAACAAAAATACACACAATATGGCATTTTCATTAGGCAAGACTTGCTGCTTGAAATTTCACATGAGAAGGCCATGTTACCCTTCCTTGAACAAAATGACTAGTTTACTAAGGAAACCATCTTTAAAAGAAGTGTTCAATAAGCATATTGTATTTAAATAAATCCTCCAGGAGGAGAATTCATTGCCTTTACTGAGGAGAAGGCTCTGTAAAATTATTGTTAAATTTATCTGTGCAGCTCACCACGTCCTTCTTGGAACATCACTATTTCCACATCACAGTTCCCAAAAGGCCTTTCAAGTCTCAAAATTCTGTCTCTCCTTTGGCTTGCTTCTCTCGTGACTGTACCCAGGCTTTATTGATGGTCCGCTTCATATCGTCATCCCCATCTTCATAGATCTTCTTCAGAACGTTCATCAGGCCCTCACTGGGGTCTGTCTCAGTGTCATAGGAGGGCTTTCTGTTAGAAAGAAAACACAGCGACTGAGAAATACGTGTCCATCTGAAAATGGAGAAATATGTGTATGTGCACAAAGGTCCCATTTACTGACAGACGTTTTAGAAGCACGATGACCGAGTAAGGGAAGGTACAAATCAGGCCGTTAGGTTGCCAGGAGTGGAGGAGCGGAGGTAAAGGGGGCGATCGATACCAAGTATCCAAAGACACTCGCCACTAACAGCTCGTACAGTCATCCTAATGCCAACAATATACACTCACACTATCTTGCTGGTTCTGTGAAAGAGTGGTCATCAAAACGGTTAGAGGTTAGCTTGGGACAGTGGGATTTTAGGTGACTTTTAGCAGAAAAATAAGAAAATATAGGCATTTACTTTTCTGAACTATTTTTTAAAAGCACATTTCCTCATATTATTTGAAAAAAATACTTTGAGAGAAAACACAAACATACATTACACATGGACACACACTGAAGTTCATATATTTTTTCATCTGAAAAGCTCTGCTCTTAAGCCTGAGACAGATGAAGCTGGGCCTGGTGGTGGAAGTCAGCAGTCCTTCCTGTAGTCAGCACCTTTAGTGCAATCAGTGTTCAGCCGAGGCCAATTAACTTCCTGGTTATTTCTTTACCCACCTCATTTACTAAGTGGCAGGCTCTATACTGGACACTGGAGATATACAGTAAGAGTAAGACAGGTTCCTGTACTCAGGTCATTCACTCTAGAATTAAAACCAATTCCACAGAGCACCTAACTCCAGCCAACCACATCCCAAATGCACGTGGCTATCAGACGTGGAAGGTGGCTGGTTCACTGCACGCAGTATATTACCAATGCAGGAGAATGTGCCACCTACGATGGAAGTCTGTGAATAAACGTTTTTTAGAATAGCCATTAAGTAGGATAAAAGTATTCTATCTTTTCCACTCTACATCAGTGACAGTAAAACTCCGTAACTACATTATCAGAAACATCTGTGGAACTCAAAAACCATAAGGGTATCTGGGTCTCTCTCAACTACTGAAACGGGATCTCTGGGAATGGGCACAGTATCTACAGAAGCATCACTGACCCAGGGTTAAGAACCAGCATACAAGAGCCAATCAGATACCATGTGCTGGACACTCCTGGTAGGTTGTGCAAGTTGGAGCAGATGTGAAGATAATCAGCTTAGTAATGGACACTGAGAGGTAAATGGTCAAATCACAAGACTATAAAACTCTGTTATCCATAAAGACAAACTAATAAAAATCTATAACCCCAGCAAAGAATACACAAATTCTTAAAGAAATGAGCGTGAACTCACTCCTTCTCTTTGCACTCTTTCTCCACCTGAGTCAGGTAGTCCCACCGTGTGTTTTCTGCTTTCTTTCTACATAAGATAATCACTGTATCTGTCTTGACCTGAAAGAAGTGGGAAAAGAGATACAATTTAGAACACACAGATGTAAGCATGAATGTTTAGAAGACAATTAATTACTCACTAATCATTACTTTAATGTGTAGGACCTGTCTTAGGAACTAGCAATACCTTTATGACCAGGCCAGAGTCTGAACACTCATGGAGGAGAAAGACCACACCAGGTAAAACTAGATTATTTTCAAATACTAAGTGTTCTCAAGACAAAGAGGGTGTTAATGGGGGCTGGGGGGACCTTTATTAGGAAGCGCTCTCAAAGACCCAGGAGAAAGGGCCTTGGAGGCAACTGGCCCAGCATGGACAAAGGCTCTGCGACGGGAAGATTTTGGTGTGTTTGGAAAAAAGAGAGGAAGAGTGGCTGGATTTTGGTGAAGGGTGGAGTAACACAGTAGGAGGGGTCAGAGACAGGCAGAAATCCAATCACGTACATCAGTATTGATAATGAGTCCGGAAGGTAATGAGAGAACAGAAAGAGGAAACATATACAACTCTTTCAACAATGATCCATGTGACTAGGAGTCTTTTAGGTATCCTTCAACTATGGAATTAGCGGATGAAAAGTGAGCAGTGAGACACAAGCTAATCAATGAATTATATTCTAATATTACCTTTAAGCTGCTATGTAATTCCATGTAAACATAGATGACAAAATGGCACCATCTACACACCAGGTGCATTAAACCTCATTTACTTAAATCAGGCAGAAAAGAGGGATTATCTGAATTAGTGAAAAGTGTAAACAAGTTTTATAAAAGACAGTTTATTTTACAGCTTCTACTAACTCCAACTAGGCTAAGTACTTGAGTCCTTTATGTATCAAAATCACACAGAACATCTAATAATAGCTACCATTAATTTAAAGACTTTATATATATTTAATTTCAACTTCGTAGAATAAATTATTATTCCCACTGTACAAATGAGAAAACTGGAACACGCAGTTATTAACCTGCCAAAAGGTTACAACCAGTAAGTGGCATGATCGGCATTAAAACTCAAGTCCTACTCTTAATCATTTCAAAAGCATATTCCTCTCCTGATTTTAATGCAATATTTTTATAATAATCTATTTTTCTAGAGCAGGAGTTGGCAAACTTTTTCTGTAAAGGGCCAGAGAGTAAATTTTTTAGGCGTTGTGGGCCACGTGATCTGCTGTTGCTACTTAATTCTGTAATACAAAAAAAGCCCCTTGTCCCCCACTCCACACACACACACACACACACACAGACACACACGTGACGACGTTCAAACAAAACTGTATTTACAAAATAAGCAACATGCTGTAGTTTGCTGATCCATGATAAAGGATTAATTAATTCTAGTTCACCCCAACTCTGATCAGCCAGGTACAATTTAATGAGGTTTCACAATACAACAAACATAACAACAAAGCAGACTTACTTTTTTTGAACTGCCTTCCACAGAGATGGGTTTCAAAAGATTGTTCACAATCATGGAGTGATTCTTCCCATTTAGATTCTTCACCAGAAGATCAAATGACCTACAACACAACAGCAGACACATTCACTTTCTGGTTCTATGAAAGGTGCCCTCTGGCCCCCTCAAGCCAGCCACCAGTGTTGTTTCTGAGCACCTGGCCATCCCAAAGAGCCGCCCCCCTTCAAAGCAGGTGTGTAGGATAATTAGTTCTAAATTTAAGCACAATTTTAGATACTGCCAAGAAAAGAGCCTGTAACAAGGTAATCACTGCGGAAGTTCACCGTCTGCCCCACAGTAAGAACTCACCTCTCTGTGAAATGCACCTGCACATTTTCTGTGGGGACCTGATGAACTCCAGTTAAGGTGATATAGATCTTCACAAACTTATCTGACTGATCCCATCCTAGTAACAGAAACAACAAAACAAGGGGACATAAGTGAAGTCTGATATTATGTCTAAAACAGTAAGTGCATATGGCTTACAATAAAACTCAGTAACTGGAAATCCAGTAATAGAAACATGAAAAATTAAAATATACAAAATTTTTTAGATGGAGAAGCTGAGCTTCAAGGCAGTTTAGTAACCTACCCAAAGTTAGGCATTTAGCCAGTGGCAGAACTTGGGCTTCAAATCCATGTTTACTGAGCACAAAGCCCTCGTGCTTTTTATTCTTCAAAATAAATATGATCCTTAAACATATTCTTCAATAGTAGTTAATTTCCCCTACTTACAGAAATCATATTGTCCTATACCTAAGTATTGGTAAGTTTCCACTAAGATGGACTGCTAAACATCAGTACTGTTTAATTCCATAATCATTTCTACTTCTCTAAGCAATTCAATGAGCACAGCCAACCCTAGCTTCCTCAATTCCCTTCTCTGACAAAGTAAAACATAAATTCAGAGTCCAATTCATCCAAATCTCATTTGACTAACCTAACAACACATACTAAATGCCATTTCAGTATACACTCCCAAACTACTTAGATTAGTCTCTAAACTAGATGATTTGTCAACACAAAATATACACAAACTTCACATAAAAAGCATATATTACATTTATGCATGTTTATTACATACAGAACTTCATCTAGTTTCTTCCCACTCATTCAATCCATCCTCCACATTAAGTTTCTCCCTAAACACAAATCTAGGTTCCTGATTAATATGCCATAATCCTACCACCTTCAGACCATGTTCCTGTATCAATCAACTAAGCCCACAGCACAACTCCGATAGTACATCTTTTAAGCACAACACACGCACTGCTTTTCACTCTGACAAAACTCAAAACACAGGATGCTTCATGTGTCTAATCATGTCATGTGCTCACAAGATTCCCTTCCTTTCTTCACACTTGCAGAATACATCCTTCAAACTCAAATGCCTCTTCTAATTCTCCATTCCTTACCTCCAGTAGAATTATTTCATCAGCTGTATTCCCATAATTTATAAATGTATTCAGTGAAGCAAATGTTAAGTTCTTACTAGGTGCTAGATATTGTGAGCAATAAGAAACATAAGGCTGTCCCTCCTTCATAAGAACTCATCACTCAGATTTAAGTTGCACTGCTTGTAAGACAAAAAAGTTTACCATCTATTGAGGGCAATAGTATTGTCAGATTGTTGATATTAGTTATGTCTGTGTCCCAAGCACCATGAGCAAGACTAGGTCTTTGTCACTGCTGTGTGTCTGATACTACTGTAATTAATTAGCCAGTTATTAATAATAGGAACGGAGCCAAGGGAAGCCAGACATTGTAAGCATGGCCATTAGGGCAGCTTCACCAGGAAGCTGCCATTTCACACCCCCCAGGGAACCATCAGCCGAATTCCCTGCAAAACACTGGGGAAGGGGTCCAATGAAGGGGAGGCAGGCACAAGTGCAGTCAAGTAGAGGTAACTTAGGGAAGGTTCCTGCCTGTCAATCTAGCCCGGGGAACCATGGACTGGCTAGGAGACAGGGCCAATGTGAGCCCATGAAATCTGGGAACATGTCATGTCCCACACAAAGGGGCTTGCTCTCCTGGTGCCCTTGTGGCTCTCCTGCATTCGCCCACGTTCCCTCCACAGCCATGCGTCCCTGCGGACCCCACATGCAATGGACTGACGGACTGCGACTGCGAACACAACCCTGAGCTAGCCTGATGCTAGACTGGACACTGCTCCAAAATGGACAGAAACTCTGGGCACTGGCTTTGATCCTAGCTCCGCTGAAGCCACAGCTACACTTCTTCTACGGCGGGACAAAGGGAAATGGAACCTTGGAAACAGAAATAAAGCTTTCTACAATATCTCATCCTCCCATGCAAATCTCAGAAAATTCTTTTTCTTGAGACATTGCAAGAAACCCACTCTCATCAACAACCACTGGGAACAAGGAGCGCTCCCCACCGATAACATTTCTGCAAGTCCAAGCACAAGAGTGACACTATTAGTTGCTCAAAATTAAATTCTTAAATTTAACTAGATTCCTTTCCTCAGTTAATATTGGTGGTTGCTTGGCAAAATAAAATGCAAAACAGGATGAAAATCAAAACAAAAACCTGTGTTCCATATACACCGAGCAGACTCCTTCTGGTTGCTACTCGTCACTGTACTAAATCAGCTTGCTCTGGTAATAGCTTCTAGAATATCTCCTTTCCTTTTTCATCTCTTAAAAAGCATCTTATTAAATAAGAGATGGGGTCCTCTCTTTCAAACCACCAAAGCAAACTCTCAAAACAATTTCTAGAATTAAGTTAGGTGGTCGCTGCGGAGGGCCCGGCTGCTCACAGGCAGAACGGCTGGGCGTGGAGCGCGTCCTACCGTAATTGCTGATTTTCACTGTGTAGCCCGTGGTAATGGGGGAAACCACGGCAGCCGGCTTTTCGTTGTCAAGAGGTTCTGCTTTCCTTGGTGATTTCTGCTGCATCTTGTCCTTCATTTCTGCCTCAATCTTGGATTTTTCAGCGGTAAGAGCGTCCCGTATCCTCTTTCTAGTGGCTTTTCCCAGCAGCGCTCTCACCTCTTCCAGATCTTTCTGTAACTGTTAAAGTGAAAGATAAGTTGCTATGATAAGTGAGATAAAAGCTTGACATTGTTTCTATTGGTCATTTCAGTTTACTGAAGTAACAGCCAAGAATTCGGAGGGTCATTTAAATGTTCTTGGGTTGGGAAGCGACTTCAATTCTTTCCTTCTGCCTGCTGAATTGTAAACACAGCAAGCTTCCTCATTTTTAAATGAAAATTTAACAATCTTGAAGTAACAACAGGTAATCAAGTCTAAATTTTCCAGTCTGGTAGACTGTTACCCGCCTTTGTTGTAGAATACTTTACTTACTAGATACTTCTGTGTTTCATAAACTCAGATGAAGAAATCTTTTTCTTTTTTAAATAAAAGGTCATAGATTCCATTTTTTAAAAAAATATGTTTTTATTAACTTTTTAATAAAACTTTTTAGAGAGAGGAAAGGGGGAGAGAGAGAAATACATGTGCGAGAGAGACACTGATCGGTTGCCTCTTGCACGCTCCCTACTGGGGATCGAGCCCAAAACCTGGGCATGTGCCCTGACCAGGAATTGAACTGGGACCTCAATTCCCTTTTAACATTCAGTCCTAGTCATCAAATATTAGGAATTTAAACAGTAAAAAAATCAAAAGATGAGTGACTATACAATGAGCGGGGAAATGCTCCAGCAACTTGCCTGAGGTCATCTAACTTCTGTCAGGGATTGTTCTTCACTAATCTTCCTTCACCAAATACCCAAACAGTACACATGAAAAAGTTTGCATTTTTAAGACAAAAGATAAAAAGACATATCTTTGCTTTTAAGAAAAAGTCTTGTTCTTAAGCTCCAGGATTAATTTTATGGTTGAAAGTCTGGGACTTGGCTGCACAGCAGACACACCCCTGCCATCGCAAACCCAGGCGCACCCCTGCCATCGCAAACCCAGGCGCACCCCTGCCATCGCAAAGGCCACCTGTTCTTCCCTCTGCCAGGACCTCGCCCACTGAAGTCACTTCTACTCTCTCTAGGAAGAGCCAACATTTTTTAAAAGTTGTCTTTAAGAGTGAAAGACACCATTAGAAAATGAATAGACTTAAAAATCTTTTCCCAGTTATCCTCAGACACATTACAAGTGATTGGTTTTTCTTAAAAAAACTTTCCACTCTGGCTTGATACTAGCGATCTGACAGGGAGGTGCCCGAGAGCACACAAAAGGCTGGGTATAAGTATCTTTAAATAACTCAGGATAATACCTGAAGTAGAGTTTGCAAGCCCCAATGTTTCTTAAATCTTATAAAGCATAATAATAGAAAAGTGAGTTTCTCCTTTTACCCAAGTCTTTTATTGTCTTACTAAACTCAGCTGCCCTTGCTTCACTGTAACTGATACAGCACAGAAAGTTCACCTGTGCCCAGTGTCCTGTCCACACTCTACACGACCCCCAAACTCATATCACTAAGACCAAAAAACTGCACACTCATCTTGGGAGCAGAGCACCAAGATGCTTTAGTTCAAAGCAATCTTTTTTATTATGATGGTTTTCACACTAATTCTAATGCTGACATGGTCAAATACTGCAGTGTAAAATTAGTAGATCTGTTCCTGGAGTAAGAATTTAGTTTAAAAAAATGTATCAAGTCTAAACAAAAGGTTTTACTTCTTGACTAGAATAGGAATCCTTTTTCGAGGTGACTCTAAAAGGAACTCTGAGCACTGAGGGGTTCCCAGGCCCTCTATAGCCAGTGCTGGCTGTCAAGTCCCACCGACAGAAGGTTTGGGTGCTGTAAGTCTGAAGTGACGTACAGCAGCCGTTGTAGGTGTTCCTCAGTTCCCTGTTCTGTGCAGACCTAGGACCAGAACAGGGAGCCCTCGGTGCCTTTCCTACACACACGATAAGGCGCCTTAGATACATCTAATTTATCTTGATATTCACTTGTTTTCCTTACGCAAAATTACATACCCCTTTTATCCTCACCAATAAACACATTCAAACTTATCTTCTAATCTAGCTCCACATTCTACACTAGGAGGCATTAAAATCAAAGTGCCTCAAAATGGGGAAAGGACTGAAAAGAACATTTCTCCAAAAGTATACAAATGGCCAAACCACCAAGCACATGAGAAGATGCTCGGCTTCATTCATTAGTCTTTAAGGAAATGTTTATCAACCACAGTGAGGTACCACTCCACACCCACTGGGATGGCTAACTTCAACACCACCACCACCACACACAGAAAATAACATGCGAAACCTTCAGACATTTCTTGTGGGGATGTAAAATGGCGCAGCCACTTTGGAAAGCAGTCTGGCAGTTTCTCAGAGTTGCCATATGACACTGCAATTCTACTCCTAGGTATACACTTCAGAAAACTGAAAGCCTATGTCCACATAAAAAGCTGCACACAAGTACTCATAGCAGCATTGTTCATACAGCCAAAAAGGAGAAATAATCCAAATGTCCATCAACTGATGACCTGATAAACAAAATGTGGTATATCCATACAATGAAATATTATTCAGTCATAAAAAAAGAATACAAGCTACACTATGGATGAACTTGAAAACATTATGCTAAGTGAAAAGGAGCCAAAATGCAAAGACCACATATTGTAAGTTTCTATTTATATGCAATGCCCACAAGAGGTAAATCCATAGAGACATAAGGTGGACTGGTGATTGCTGTGGGGGGGGGGGAATGGGAAGAGACTTTTTTGTTTTTGTTTTTTCATCCTCACCCGAGGACATTTTTCCATTTTTTTGTTCAGATAGAGTGGGAGGGAGAGAGAGAGAAAGAAACATCGACGTGAAAGGGACACATCGAGTGGCTGCCACCCGCACGACCAACCAGGGCCAGGGACAAACTGCAACCGAGGTACATGCCCTTAGCGGGAACCAAACCCAGGTCTCTCTGGACCGCAGGCTGACTCTCTAACCGCTGAGCCAAACCGGCCAGGGCGGGAAGAGACTTTTTAATGGACCCCAATAGGTTTCTTTTGGAGGGTGATGAAAATGTTCTGGAATTAGTGGTGATGGTTGCACAACACTGTGAATATACTAAAATGTACTGATCTGTGTACTTTAAATTGGTTAAAAACAATGAATTTTATCTCAAAACAAAAACCCTAAGCATCCCTAAGTGTTTAATTTTAAGTACCTCAATTAAGAAAGTCCCTTGGCCCTGGCTGGGTAGCTCGGTTGGCTAGAGCATCATCAGATGTGCCAAAGTTGCAGGTTCAATTCCAGGTCAAGGGCACATACAAGAATCAACCAATGAATGCGTGAATAAGTAGAGTGACAAATCGGTGTTTCTCTCTCTCCCTAAAAATAAATAAGTGAAAAAGAGCCCTGGCCAGACAGCTCAGTTGGTTAGAGCACTATCCTGAGAGCCAAGGTTGCAGGTTTGATCTCGGGTCATGACATTTAAAGGAATCCACCAATGAATGCATAACCAAGTCCAACCACAAATCGATGTTTCTCCGCACCTCCCCCATTCTCTCTCCTTACCCAAAAAAAAAAAAAAAAAAAATCAATTAAAAGAATTTTTTTTAAAAAGGAAGCTCCTTACTTTGAAGAGCATTGATACTGAGCTATCCTTACGTTATGACTGTCAAGTCACTTCTGAGGTTATTTCCTTAAGGTACGTGGTACCCCAAGGTTTATCTTGAACCCATAACGCAAGCCTGTGGCAAGTTATCCAGAATAATATTTAAACACACACTCACTTTTTCTTCATTTATGCCGCAGTATAGGACTTAAAAAGGAAACCAGAGATTCCCCAGCCTTGTTCAAATGGAGGGAAAGACCCAGGAGACAAGCCTAGACACCCAACACTTCACTGTGACACTGACATCTCCCTGGACCCGGAAAACAGCAACCCAGGTGCCGACTGCCAAACTCGGTCTCCGAAAAAGTGAGCTCGTACACGAGGAAGAGCTATCCCCACCACCAGTCACAACGAACTTTCCAATCTGTTACTTTTTCCACGACACCGCAGTGCTCGGCTCCGCACCGCTCCGCAGAGCCGTTCCCCGGTCTCCACGACCCGTGGCGCGGCGCCCTGGGGCTCGGAGCAGCACAACGCGGGCCAGAACCCCCGGCGCCCCGAGCGCGGGGAACACCGCCAGGGAGCCCAGGGGGGACCCGACGTCTCGCCCGCCCGCCCCCGAACGACATCGGGCCCCGCGCTCAGCCCTGATGCGACGCGGGGGCGCGCCCGCCACACCAGGGGCGACAAGGGCGGGAGGCCAACGTGAAGGTGACCAGCGCGCGGGCTGCCGGCCGGCGCCACCTGCAGCCGAGCAGCCCGCACACCCCGCTCCCCGCCCCGCGCGCGGCGAGGGACCCCGGGCGGAGCGGCGACGGCGCTCGGCAACTTTCCCGCGAGGCCGCCGCCCGCAGGCGCGGCTCGGCCCAGGGGCCGCTGCAGGAGGCGGGCGGAGGCCGGGGAGCGCGGGGCCCCGGCGGCGCAGGGAGCGGCCGCAGCGCGCTCGGCACGGGGGACGGCGCGGAGGGGGCGAGCGACCCGCGTCGGGGCGGCTGAGGACGATGAGGCGGGACCCTTACCTCCTCCACCGCCGAAGCCATGGTCGGGCTGGGCAGGCAAGGCGCGAGCTGCAGCCCGAGTGGGAGAAGACCAGGAAGCGCCGCAGCGGAGCGAGTCGCAGCGCCCGCAGCCTCAGCGCACCGCCGACCCTGCGCGACACCGCGGCCCGCCCACCGCACGCGGCGCCTCTGGAACCTTCGCGAGTCGAGCGTCACAGCCCCCAGCGCCGCCCGCCTCCCTCAGCCCCGCCCCGCCGAGCCTGACCTCGCCCCGCCCACCGAGCCGCCTAGCCACTCTCAACTCTCGCGAGAAGAGAAGCGCCACTTCCTCTCCGCCCGGACAACTGTATGTTTATACGTTGACCTCGTTGCCCAGGCTGCGCAGGCGCAACTCAGAACCGCTGCCTTTGCGGACTTATCCCAACCCGGAACTAACGTACCGGTCTTCGGAATCCAAATCGGAAGTTGACTAGAGAGGCGGCTGCTTCCGTCCCCTGTCGGACACGGGCCAGCTAGGCAGCCATCTTGTCTAAGGCTGGTCTGTGAGCGTCTGCGAGAAAAGGATACAAAAGGGGAGCAGGGGCAGCCTATTATGTTGTTAAAACGGGAAAGAGCAAAGAGCTAAGTAGGGAGAATCCTGAAGCGTACAGTTTGATTTTCAGTGGGTTCTGACGCTCTGGACACGTCGCCACGATTTAGCATCAGCGACGCGGTGGCGTCATCACCGCGCGGGGTAGCGTTGGCCACGTGCCGGCGCCGCCAGGGTTACGGCTGCTAATCCAGGGAGCAAGTTCTGAGACCCCTAGTGCGGTCTCCTTTCCGCGCGGTGTGTGGGAGCTGTTCCCCGGCGCCTCGGCCCCTCCACCGACGTTCCGCGAGCCCCGGGTCGCTGGGTTTTCCCGGGACTCCTCGCCCCGCCGGCCCCAGCACCGCTCAGTAAAAGCCCTCGAGAAGCCCCCTTTCCAGGTATCTCCGCTTCCGACAGCCCCCGAAGTCTGCAGCACGGCTGAGAAGATAGCTCCGGATGAGTCTCATAGCCCAGTCACTCAGTGTTATATATCGCCCCAAACAGCGCTTAGAATCAGCAAGTCGGAGAAGAAAAAGGCTATTAGAAAAATGCAGGTTGACCATCAATCTTAGGAAAGAAACGGCAGTGCAGAAACATGGCTGCACACACGTGCGTGGATCTCACGAACATGAGGTTAAGGGAAAGAAGCCAGACAGAAAATACCCTTCGGTTCCATCTAAATTAAGTCTAAAACCAACAAAACGAATTAGTCTAATTAAACTAAGGCATTAAAATCAGAACAGTTTTCCCTGGGTGGGAAGGGAAATGACAGGAGCCTAGAGGGGGCTTTGGGGTTCAGATACCATTGCTTCTTGATTTGGACGCTGATTACCCGTGTGTTCACTTACTAGAAATTTCATCCAGCTGTAAACTTGTATTTGTGTAGTTTCTTTTGTATGTTATCCTAAACTAAAGGATATTTAAGTAGGCTCAGGGGGCTCTTTTCCAGAATAGAAATGTGACACTGACACATACAGTTGTCAAAATTCAGAGGAGAAACAAACATCTGTAACAAAAATACACACAAAATTTATAGAATTAAACTCCTAAGATCTGTGTATTTTATTGTATGTCGATTATAACTCGTTTAGGTGTCCAACTGAAAGCCTCTAATTATTTCGGTACTTAATTATCCTTTGTAGCACGTGAAAGCTTAATGCAATGATTTCCGAATGTGCTGGATTATGCACCTGGGGCAACTCTGCCGTACAGGCTAACATTGTGCAAGCAGAGCTGGAACAAGCTCCTGTATATTTCCTCTTTCTGACAAGTCAATGTGAAGTAAGTGTTACATAAACACTGGATTCGGATGATTCAAAATAAAATCAACTAGAAAAAAAAAAAAACAGAAAAAGACTGATATGGATTTGAGAACAAATGTTTATTACTGCTTAATGGGGCCAAAGGGGCAACACAAAGCATTGGAAACATCACTGGCTCACAAAAACGGTCACCTGTTACCTTCTGGGTTGCATTTGTTTACTTTACAAGGCTCCATTCACACATGAAAACAAGATACTAATCCAGTTCAAGTTCATAACAGTTATAAAAGTAAACGTTTGTTGGAACAATGTACAATAAATTGCACTTTTCTTAACAAGCATTACATTTACATTTATAGAGTGTACTATGCATAATACATGGAATTATGGAAACATCTAACTGGTCGGTTTATAGGGGAGAGAGGCTGTTCAGTTTCTTTTGTAGTCAGCACTGTTCGGGCTAATCAACTCCTTTATCCCGGAATCTGTTTTCATTAGAGAAACTATGGACAAAAATTATAGTTGGTCAAAATAGATGGTAGAGAATTTCTACTACCTCCTCTGCAAGGGAAAGGTAGGGGTTGAAAGAAAGGAAGTGAGGTGAACTGAGAAATGTTTTCCCCTCATTTGAATTAAGAATCCATATATTATGCAAAATACCAAAAATAGAGAAACTGATGTAAAAGGCTATTGGGACATCTTGGATTCTGGGACCATCTCCAGCTTTATTCTTGTGCTTTCGTGACGCCAGAGTCTTGATGCATTTATATCCTTATAACTCAGTTTCCTATATTTTATTTCCATATATAATATATAGTTATGTTACATTTCAGTGGAAAAGATTTTACATGTTAACTTACTGCCAATAAAAAAGGAACCTCAGATGTTCATTTTCTCTACTCAATGATCCTTTTTTCTTAAATATTTCAGAATACAACTGATGATAAACCTGGGATGGAGGTGGGGAGAATGGGACATGTTAAGATGTTTGTGTAGCTGGTAGCAAATTCATCTGGAGAGAAGCTGGGCGTGTTCTTTTAGATGAAGCTAAGGGAATACCTGACGCTGACTGTAATCACTACGCTACTCGTCACAGCTCCACTTTCTGGTCACAGCTCAAGGTCATCTCCTACTGAGGTGCAGTCCCCACCGAAGTCTTCATTTTGGTAGCTTTTGAAAGACAAGGAAATTCCTAAGGTAAAGGGCTTTGCCTTTATTGTATGGCAGCCAGTGTGAGAGAGGAAGGATGTTTTGGAGCAGTTCTAGTTCAGCATGACCATGAGCATGCTAATTTGAGGGCAACCATTTTATACCTGGGAGAGCCCCAGTAGGAAACAGGCCACTGAGCCATTACCTGGCTTCTGTATGTGATCACTAAGTGTGGATTCAGGTGCATGGTACCTGGGTATACAAAAGAGGCAGGGACACTCTATACAATTCAACACACACAAATCTAACAGTGTTCACATCAAACAACAGCTTGTCCATTCTCTCATTTATTTGTAACTGAAGCAAGAGAATCAGAGCTTTTTAAAGTGTTGTTTTTAAAAGTTATACAATAGAGTCATCTTGCTATGTATTAAAAGTGTTCTTTCCAAGAGAGATAAAATAAACAAGGTATTTCATTTTTTAAAAGCTCCTTTTTCCCTTAAAAGTAGTCCTGAAATCAGACACCCACCTTAGCAGAATAGTAAGTGATTTCAGCTAAAGAAAAAGAAAGCTCAGTCCCTTACATGTGGCTCACCCGCAGTAACTCATCAACCCTTTTAAGGACCCCTCACCTCTTGTGCCCCAAACTGTATATTCTCTTGTTTTTCTCACTCTAGCTAGGAAATTAAGCCACTAGTTATTAACTGGAAAACAGTTTAAGAAAATGGTGTAGGAATTTGAGAAAAATAAATAGTATAAAAGAATGAAAATGTTGAAGAAATGAAACAAGAGAAGGATGATTAACTATCCCAACATCAGTACAAAGACTGCTCTTCTCTTTCACTATGGAAGTTGAAGAAAGCCAATGAAAAAGAAACTGCTGACTGAATGGCCAGGAAAGGGGAAGGCAGGCATTGGTTGTAAGGAAATACAGGCCACAGGCCTGCATGGCATTCCATCAGTGTTTCTCATAGGCACTCATACAGAACATGGGGAACTGAGAGTGTTTCTTTGCATTAAATGATATGTAACTAAATAGAAACAAACTGAGCGTGGCCCAGGACGTGGGCAGCTAGCAGACATGCGAATTTCAGCATGGTTTCTTCCCACTTTAAAGAATGTGTTAAATAAGATTTTCAAGATATAAAAGGTAATGAATTGAATAATCAAATTGAAGTTCATGCCCTTAATTTACTTTGCAGAATTTAATGAAAAGAAAAATAATCACTTTCAGAATGTTGCAAGTGTTAGATTTCTGGAGGACTGTTTTATACAATGTGTTCTAGGGAAAGATGAAAAATATTCTAGAATATCTGAAAATTTCCTGGATATTTGGGCTGCTTAATCTCTTTCTAAAGGAATCAAGAGAAGACGATCAATTCTCATATTTCAAAATAAGTGAAATTAAAACTAGCAGTTAATGCTAGGATGCCTGAGTTTTAAACAATATGCGGTGAAGGACATGTGGTTTGGGATAATGCTATTATAACATGTTGTATGAATAATAATATCATATACCATATTTTAAATTTTCTTTCTATATTTACTATTGCTATTGACCCAAAGGCATTGCAGTGAAAAACAATTTAGACTTATGGTACCAAAACATACTCAGGTATGGTATGGAACTGGAAAAAAAAAACATTCTATAGATTACTCTTATGATCTTTTAAAAGAGTTGAAAGGAAATGCAAAAGACTGATTTATTAGATGTTTGGAATGTATAAATTGATTTATTAGATGTTTGGGTGATTTTGTTTAAAGAAAAAAAATGTAAGGGGCTATGAAACTGACCCAGGTTTATCACTAAGGACTGGACCTCGAGCCATTCTGTTTCTCCCTCAACTACTATGTAAGGAAAATTATTTCAGCATTCTGTGGAATGTGCCACTTTTTGGAAGTTAAAAAGAGCTATGTATAATAGAATTATAAGATTCACAAAACACAAGAGAACATCTGTAACTTAGCTGCCATTAGATAAGGCAACTTGTACACGGCTTCTTGGAATCAAAGCATAAAGGATCAGTCAAGATAACAAATTATACTAAATGATTTACAGAAACAAGTACCAAGATGCAACTCTCTAGCCATTGTATTTTACAAAAAAGAAAAAAGAGTAGGTTTTCTAAACCACCACATAGGGAATGTTCAAGTCAACACAGACACTTGAAT